CGCATTCGATAGCCCCTTTACAGACCTTTCTGAGCAATGTTCTCAGATTTGACCTCAGGTCAACGGTTTAGCCTCCAGAGGTCAAAAACCCCAAAATAGCCGTTTTTACGAAAAACGTTTTTTTCGGCAATAACTTTTGACTCAAAAGAGCTATGACATTACTTTTGCCAGCATCGTGTTCCTCTCGTCGAGACGCGTCGAATGAACTATAATTTGACCTTGAAAGGTCAACTTGAAAATTTGACCTCAGGTCAAGGTCATGACCTGACCGGAAAAGGTCATGTTGCATATCAGTCGATCCGCAACGTCGAGCCGAACACATCTAAGGCGTTTTCAGCGCTCTAGCACGCCTCTATCAGAAGTTATCATCGAAAAACTGTTAGATTCTGTTCGTGACCTGAGATGACCTCGGGGACATAACGAGGGGTCACAGTTGCCATTTTCTGGTTCAGTGTGTCTATTTTACCTACATCTCGATGTTTGAGAGTGTCTAGAATAGCGTTCGTGCAAAACAGACGCTTTTCAATTTTCTCCCATTGACTTAAAATGGAGAGGCCGCAAAATTGACCTGACCTTAGGTCACCGATATCAAACTTCCGAGATATACATTTTATACATAGTGTTGCTCTAATCAATCGCTGAAAGTTTCAAGGCAATCGTTCAGTCGGTGTAGCTATGACGAGCATTCTTATTTTTTTCTGAGGTGAGGTCACTTGGCGTGACCTGGTGACCTGACCTAAGATGACCTGGGTCTGAAATTTTCACAACATGTGCGGAAAAGATGCACGAACAGGTGTGCCAAAAACGGCGGCGCTCCGCGCCGCCGTTTTTGAGATATCTGCGAAAAACCGCAGGGGGGGTGTTCAAACACCCCCCGGCCCGGCGCGGGTACGTTTAACTACGTGGCAACCCTGACTGCGTATAGTATCGCAGGTACGCTGATGTGGCCTTTGGTCGTGGGCATTTACACATGAACCTACTGCTGCGACCCTTATCGGTCTCCGGATACAGAAGCCCTTGAGAACCGGCGCGGGCGGACCTTTCGGACGAGGTCTTGCCGAGGTGATGCGGGAGGTAGAGGACGGACCGTCCATAGCGCCGGTGAGCTATTCTCTAACTATCTCCCGGAGTCAGGGTGGCTGCAAATTTTTTTTTGCGCTGCCCTGGCTTGGCCGGACTGACAAAAATGTAAAAAATCAAAAAAAAAAAATCCCGAAATCCGAGGAGAAAAATAGGGGTAGCTCGTTTTTTTTTCCTAAGACTGGACGTTTGAAATTCTCGCCGACTTGCCTGGCGGCGCAATGTTTGCCCCCCCCCTAAACTCAAATCCTAAATCCGCCACTGCTCGCATCTCGCCGTCTAGCTCTCACGACACTTCTCTGCCGAGCCGGCGTCACAGCGGGCCGCGACTACTTTCCATTTCACCGGGTCGGGCCGGGCGGGCCGGCGCGACGCATAGGCTCTCCAGGGGCGGGTCTCCCAAGCCGACGATAAGAGGTTAGGTTCAATGAGTCCGGGTCGGACGAGCGGAATATAGGCATTCGATGTCTGTGAACAAGACCACCATACAGATTCTTACATCTATGAATGAATGCCGACCTGGGATCAGTCATCAGATGACCAATCAGTTTCTAAGATCGTGGAGTAAACGGGAGGCCGGTCGGTCCGCGGCCCTCAGCGTCCCTATTTCGTCACAGCGCCTCACGTCAGTCAGACCGGGATGACAAACAGAACGTAACTCTCGCACTGGTTCGTATCAAGGTGTTGATGACGTTCGTTCGGTTATCACGCGGGATGGACAAAGACCAGGACTCAATCAGGAGCCAACAAAGTTCACGATGTGCCCCATTGAAATTGCAATATGGCCTGTATCTAGCCAAACTCTAAGACCTTTCCAGCCGATGCAAAAGTCTGATTTGGATAATGTAATGAATCAAAATAATGTAGATTAAATCGTTATTATTTTTGAATATCACCCTTCTTGCGATAATTAACACAGTTTTAGCTCGATTAAAAAATATATGTATTAGCAATATGGAGGAAAAGCAAGAAGCATAGAAAAAGCAAGTTCCAGGAGTCGAGTTTGAGGGAGTACTTAAACACCCCCTTTCCCCGGCCGGCGCGGTTGGCGCAGAGCACCGGCTCGGCGCGGGTTAATCGAAAAACGTCCAGCCAACGAGAATCTGCATACGGGTCGTGTTGAGCCATTTTGGGTTCGTGCCTGCGGGCCAAGCCAAGCAGCTCAGACTAGCTGCATCATCCACTCGGGGGTCGGGAGAGCCCCACTGGCGCAAGCTCGCCTCAGGGAGAGCTGCGTCATTGTATCCCCTCGACCCTCGACCGGCCCTCCGCGAGTGGGTCAGGTCAGGTCAATGGCTCCATTGTGACGGCGGACGGCCGGCGTGACCCGACAAACCGGCCGAGTCACCGTGCAGCGGGCTGACCGGCACGGCACCCGCCGCCGACACCGGTGGCGTAACACAGGCGCAACTGACAACGGCCAACGGGCATACTCACAACACGCTGCTGTAATAAAGCATGTTTGAGTGTTGAAAATGAGTGGTGAAAAGGGGCCAAATTAAACTTCTTTCAGCGACCAGCGACTACAACTGGTGAGGTTACAAAACAAAGCTGAGCCCGTGCTAAATGGCTGCGGAGTCGACAAATATTCTGCGACTGCGACAACAATTAAACAAAATCGACTCCTACTCCGGCTTCAACTCCCACTCTAGCCATCTCACATCTCGCGTCACGGTAGCATGAATTGTAACTGTGGTGTCTGTTTGCCTAAACACGTGAACGTGTCTTGGCACATTGTAAGTGCATTCCAACATTGCGTTGTAGCTCTATGGGATGCCCGACGCCGGAGGACGTCTGACCTCCAGCAGGAGCGACAGCATCGCACAAGGACGGCAGATCGCTGTCAAAGTTTAAAGGTCCAGCTCGCAGACGAACTACATTTCAAGGCAATCACGATACTCTGCAACACTCTCATCTCAAAGTTGTTCATCTTCCCTCGTGCGAGGTCATCCGACCGCCAGTCTTAGAGGGCTCACATCGGCCTTTGAGGGCCTTATGCTGTGGTGTGAGCGGACCGGTCTGATATTTTGAATCGCATGACCTCTGGGGTGTGAACGGCACCCACATTTTCAGTCAATGACATATGAGTAAAAGCAAAAATATGAGCGAAAGAAGTACTGGATTTCTTTCGCCGTTCATGTTTAGGTAAGCTTCGTGAGTTACTGGAAACACTTATATTGGCCGTTCCAATATTTTATCCCGCGCCCCGCTGGGCTATTCAGCCAAACGCGCCCTGCTGGGGGGGGGGGGGGGGGGGCAGATTCTGCCCCCCCTGTCTAACTTCCGAACCGATGGTCGTAGAAAGACGGGGAAAACGACAATCGAAAGCTCTCAACAAGGCGGATCTTAAGAGCCCATTTTTTTGCTTAAGTAGGTCAGAGGTCAGGTCAAGGTCAGGTCAAGGGTACAAAATGCAAGTTTCTACAGTATCGGCCTTGCACCGTAGTTGCCGAAGAATGGACTGAGACTGATTGCCCAAAACGTGTTCTTAGACTACCAAGACAATATTCGTTGCATACAATGTCATTCAAAGGTCAAGGTCAAGGTCAAGGTCAGGTCAGGTCAGGTCAGGTTGCCAAAAACAAAATATAGAAAAGGGCATGTGCAACACATGTTTTATGGGCCATTTTACTCATAGAATTCAATAGGCACACTCAATAAGTGATATGGACCACCTCTGCATGAATTTCAGGTCGAGGTCAGGTCAAGGTCAGGTCAAGTGAGGTCAAATTTTGAAGTTGGTTGTTAAGGCCTAAAAAGGTGTCTATCTGATGCAGTTTTTCACGGCGAATCGAATGGTGCTATGTTGGTTTCCGTACGAGGTCTAAAACTTCCAAAAAATCATTTTTCAATTTTTTGTGCGTCGTGACGTCATAAAATTTTAAATAACTCCAACATTTTTGAACCGATTCTTCTAAAAATTGGTATGTAGGTGCACATAGACCACTTCTCTGACATATATTCCGGTTTTTTCGATACACTAAAAATTTTGGATTTGATAATTATTTTTCCAAAAAAGTCAGTTTTTTTAGAAAAAAATTTGGGCCAAAATCCAAAATTTTTAAAAAACCGAGCCATTTGATAGACAAAGTAGAATCACATATAACCTTTTTTGTTACGTCTTGATTCCTTTAAAAATGAAGATGTTAGCGGCGTTTGAAATTTTGCCGTTTTTGAGGCGAAAATGGCGAACATGACGTCACTAAAACGTCAATTTCTCAAAAAATTTCCGACGAATTTCGCTCAAATTTTCAGAGAACGTGTCAAATTGATGTATGATAAGGTACTGAAAGTTTGACGTCGCTGGCGTACCGCGTTTAGTAGAAGTTATTGGCGAATAACGGGAGAGGGGCAGATTCTGCCCCCCCCCCCCTCAGCGGGGCGCGGGTTATATGTGCAGTTTTTTAATGCCTGTACAAGTGTACAATCACAAGAGTACAATCAGAACAATTAAATTATTTACCATACGATCACAAAAACAGTGCAATCACTTGGTGATTATTGCAAGATACGCCAATAAGCTAACATTTACGTAGGCACGAGGAACCATGGTGAAGTTTTTATGCTACCCCTGCAGTCTGCATATAAATTCATATATACGGTAACAGCACGTGCGGCAGCGCACTCAACAACCACAAGTCACAACCCTAGTGTAGTTGATTTCACACTGAAACCAGAGTGACGAGAAGTACCCGCAATCGTGGTTTCTAATGTGATAGTCATCGCCTTCCGCCTATTCACATTTGATCCAGTTGTATCAACTCGTCCCACGAGAACTCGAGAGGCCACGCGTTCCTGTCGACCCATCTGATTACCGGGTGAGTACCGGTCCTGGTGGCTACCCGTGCCGACATTCCGGCCGGCCCGGGCTCTGCGCATGCGCGGTGACCGGCGGCCGGCGCGGCGACGGGCCCCGGCCGCCGAGTGTATAAGTAGGCTGGCGACGTGAGATAGCGTCGAGTTCACGGTGCAGACGGCAGTGCGGCGGTGGTACCTGGAGCGACCGTCGACACAGAGCGGAGACAGGCGCGGAGACACTCAGAGACGCACAGGTGAGACGGAAGTCGGCGCCGGACACTCGGAGGCACTCATACCTGCACATATATCGACACCTTTTTTTAAACCCCACATTTGTTCTCCCGTGAAGTTCAGACAAGTTGTTTAGAAACCTTCAAAAAAGGTACAGTCACTCGATTTTTCTCAAGTTTGTCTGTCTTGGCAGATCAAGCAATGCCAGAGCAAGCTTACGAACACACAAATTTGATCAGGATCGGACGATTGGACACTTCTAAAAAGAGATCTTTCGTGCTTCCCGGAAATTCACCGGAGAACAGATGTGGGGTTTATAAAAAAAGGTGTCGATATACTCAGACACTCAGAGCGGCACGGAGACACACAGACACTCAGACCGACACAGAGAGACACTCTGACACCCCCACAGAAGAGACGGAAGACGGCGCGGTACGGAGACACTCGGTGATAATCAGAGATACTCATAGAAACTTTTCAGGAGATGCGGCGGGAAGCGTGACACGCCGGTGGGAGGGCACGTGCATGTGCGGCTTGAACACGGTGAACACGTCAGATAAGACGCGGACACGCTTATACCAGCAAATCGTGCATTCAGCCTGATGGGCAGGAGAGATTGTAGATCCCACAATCCCGAAAATCGACGGCGAGTTGTAGCTTCTTATCGCCGTGTCTCAGCGATTCTTCAAAGTGTCATTTCCGGCGTTTCTGAATTTAAGCAAAACGCGCGCTTTTGTCACCAAGGTTTTTAGCTCTTGTACCCACAAACCGCGCAACTGTGCACAGCATTGACCAAAATGTGAATAATCATAAAACGGTGGTGCATCCACAGCCATCCACTTTAAAATTCAAAAACACCGCATTAAAGGTAGTATGCCACCTTTGAAAGATTTCCCATTTTATTTTTCCTAGGATAAGAAGCTTCTGTTTTTACCTAATATCGCAAAAAAAAAAATCAAAAATGGGCCTGGAATAGTGCCTTTTTCGCCTAAAAGTTTTTCGGTTTTTAGATATGTATAACAACTGTAGTGGGCTCACCTGCAAACAGGCGTCGGGCAACAATCGCGAATGCGGCGCACTTGTGACAATAAGCAAAGGTCATTATAGTGTTACGACCATACGACGTACGGGAATGAGTTATCAGCTGTCTAATCGTAGACAACACAATGTCGAGCCTTAAACTGTAAGCCCGTATTGTATTGTTTCCTTTATTTGGCTGTCGAACATTATTTATGGTTTGAAATATGATTTTATGTAAAATAATTGATATGAAAAAGCCGTCTTATAAGTTATGACCCCATTTCACCACACGCAAGTGGCAGAAATGACAATGATCAGCTGACGCATTTTTCTTGGCCGAAGTCAGAGCGCGCGGCCCGACGCACCACGCGTATTTGGAAATTCCGACCTCGACGAGCATCAGAAGCCACCTAACAGGCGTGTTCGAAACCGCAGGAGATGATGATGAACGGGTTTATCGAAACTTGATTGGATGAGCCTATCGGTAATAGCGATTTCAGTGTGTGCATTTATTGTTCATAGTGGTGTGAAATGTGGTTGGGGTACGACCGACAACCCGTCGGGGCGAATTTCGCACTGGGGTACTCAAAATTTGAAGAATTTAAGACGTTTCCATGAGTTTTGAAGGTATGGATAAGTTCTAAAAATCCGGTTCTCCTTATCTGGGCCATTAACTCCATACGGTCCAAGAAAGCTGGCACACTACCTTTAAGTATCATAAGCCATTAAAATTCATCGATCGACTATGAATGAGCCACCCTACGGTCCCGGTTCAAAACAACATAATGTCGATGCATGGGAAATGTTACGAAATAATTTCAGATGTCGCTAACCTGTCGGTGAGCCACTTATCTTACGCGTCAGTTGTCGGAGTCAGGGTTGTCACCGGTGATCATACTAATGTGTAATTTGTAAATGACAACCGTCCCAGCATTGATAATTATTACGGTGAAGAAGATAAGCAAAACAGCATTGATTGAGAAAAGCCTTCAGAAGTTTAGTGTGTAAGGATCATTCTATGCATTGGGTATCGCCATGTATGTTTCAACCTAATGGTTGCATAAAAGACTGATATTTATTTTTACTTTATATGCAAAGACCTGACTAGCGTAAATACATGTAAAACAGAAGATAATGAAATGAGTCGTCAAATCAACACCAACTTTCATTATCTGCCAGTCCTCTCTTGCTTTCTAAACCAAGAGCCACACGGCACACGGTCTGTAATAACCACTTTCCCTAGCTGAGAGAAAGCTGTTTAATCAAGACGTTTTTGTTTGTCTCGACTACTTTCCGGTAACACCCGGTGACATTCATATGTTTTTGTCGTCACGATGAATGGAAGCTGTCGGCAGCTCGTCGCTCAGGGATCTCTGTTTGGCCCCACTTATATGTGCATCCAGCCTTGACCTGCAGACACGGTGCGGTCGGAGCATGTTTTAAGTTGCACATGATGACGTTCGACGGGCCTGCAAAACAAAACTCACTCTCACGTCACGTGCGAAATTCGAAATCGAGGTCTAAAAAACGCAACTTAATGTGAAGGGATTTTGTTAACGAATGCACTTTGCCAAGAGCATATGTGAGTCTCTTGAAATGTAATATTCGTTTTAGATACCAGCATCGATGACAGCGACCTGCATCATGCATGATTGAACTCTTGTGTGATAATAGTCCTGCAGTCGCAGAGGGGATCCCAGCGGACCGGTCAAAAGACGCCGGCCGTAGCACGGAGCCGCTCATCAGCCGGTTTCTCCGGGCCTGAGAGCAGGTGGCGGGCCGGAGAGACTTTCTCCGCCTGCCGCGCGCAGCCCGCCACAGCCACCGCCACCGCCCCGGGCCCGGTCCGAACGGCGCCACACTTTCCCCCGCGGACAGCCGGGCGCGCAGCAGTTACAACGGGCCACGGCTGGTTAGCTCACTGTGGCTCACTGTAGCTCACTGTGGCTCAGGACAGTTCCAGGCGATAAAGCGTCACTAGCAATGCTCATCAATTGCAGATGAATTAGTAGCACTACACATCTTGGAGGACTCCCGACATCAAAACAATAATAGCGATACTGAAAATCAAATAGCTTTCGGGTCTCAGCACATGAGTGACCATAGATGTCGTGTCTTAACTTCTTTCAAGTTTTGGGGTGGTTCAGACAAAGTACGAAAGCAGGAATATCATTCTGCGGTCAGCGCAGTTCCGGTACGAATAATTAGCACGAGAGAAACGCCGTTTGGTTACATCACGGGCCGGTGTGACGAGGTAGCTGTCTAGCGGCCTTTATCACGGCAGGGGATCACCGACGGCCGGCTGTCGGGTCTGACCGCTGACCGGTTAGCGCTCTGACCGGTGACCGGTTAGCGCTCTGACCGCTGACCGGTGGCCCACATCCGCGCCGGCCGGGCCCCTGGCATTCCAGGCAGGCCGCCGATGAATTTCTCCCACCCCAATCGGCAGCGGCCCGCGGTATGGACCGCCGCTGTGGCCAACGGTACCTCGGAGCACCGCGGCGGCGGCCCGTGAAGTGACTCAGTCATCTCCACTGCCCTGCCGCCTAATGGGCAGCCACTGCGAACACGTGTGCCTTCCACGGCGGCCGGCGCGAGCTCGCTGTAGCAGCCACAATAACCCGTCTCGGCCCACACAGTCGAAACGCAACGGGTCGTTACCGGTAACACAACCGACCACCAAACCGCGAGACGGGCTTTCGCGCGCGCGCGATCACGCCAAACTTTCACTCTTGATCGCCGAGAGCGAGCGGTGGTAAACAGTGAACACCTACGCTCGCGCGCGCCACTTTCACACTCGGTCTCAGAGTGGCGCTGGAGAATGGGAATTGGGGAAGCGGCATGACGCCACTGCACGCCTCACTGCTTCCCTGAGTGCGAAAATGAAACGGCTCGGCGGGAGGCGCTGTTACCACAGACTGACGCAACCCTGCTGGACTCCGCCTCATGATACAATCGATCGGCGTTTGGAAACCGGTACACACATTTACATTTATATATAAAAATACACACGGTGCCAACATGAAAACGCAAGAGTCGCTCAAATGTTCGCTGTGTCACTGTTGACATGATGCTAGCGTTTCTGACAGCGTTTATTGACTGAGGTGCTGTTTTGGTGGTAGTTGACTGTTGATTTGTTATGTTGCAGTGACACGATGATGCGGGCGCTGGCTCTGCTGGCGGTGGTGGCTGCGGCCGCTGCCCAGGACGGAGGACGCAGGGACCTGATCCTGCCCGACCCCAAGGCCTGCGCCAACCGTAAGTTCCTTGAGTGAAGTCGGTAATAGCATAGACGAAGTCAAACTTAAAACATCGCATCTAAAGCCAAAAGTGTAAACTGCCAAGTAAGATAATGACCGACGAATACTGAGCAGGCATCTGAGCTTGCAACGTATGAGTACGCTTTTAGGTTCAATGATCAGCCCAGGAGTTCACTTGTAATGCCAGATCGGTGTTAGCCCGTCATGAGTCGTAGCCCGTCCACTCGCATAACGACTTGGAAAACTCCGAACATTACCAGCCTGCTGACCCCTGCCCCCCCCCCCTCTGACCACAGGTGTGAAGCACGCACACGAGTTCCGCAACGGCCACTACTACTTCTACTCGTGGCGGCACCGGGCCACCTCGCGTCACGAGCGCGACTGGCTGGACGCGCGCAACATCTGCCGCAAGCACTGTCAGGACCTGGTCTCGCTCGAGACCGCCCAGGAGAGCAAGATGGTCGAGTCGGCCATCGCCGCCGACAACGTCAAGTACGCCTGGACCTCGGGCCGCAAGTGCGACTTCGACGGCTGCGACCGCCCCGACCTGCAGGTGAGAACAGCGCCCCAGCGCTGTGAGCTGTCCTAATGGGGCGCAGAGACAGCGGGACATTGATCTTGCTTTATGGGTAAGCTGTTGCTCGTATTCCTTTCATTTTTTCTTTGCTTGCAAGCATTGAGGAGAACGCTTTAGAAGCTTAGGGTAAAGCTCAACTGTCAAATCAGCCTTTCTGCAGGCATCCCCAGCCATGATGTTACTGTTTGTTGTCTGTGCCCTGACCTGTGGCCTGGAGACCGTGTGTGCGTACCCCGTGTTGTCCTTCTGTGTCCTGACGGCAGTGCCGTGTCGCCCACAGCCTAAGCTCATCAACGGCTGGTTCTGGTCCGGCTCTGGCGAGAAGATGCCGCCCAGCAACCAGCGTAGCGGCGGCTACCCCAACTGGTCGAACACCGGAGGCTCCAAGAAGCCGCAACCCGACAACCGCGAGCACGACGAGGGCACCGGCGAGGAGAGCTGCGTCGGCATCCTCAACAACTTCTACGGAGACGGCGTCAAATGGCACGACGTGGCCTGCCACCACCAGAAGCCCTGGGTGTGCGAGGACTCTGAGGAGCTGCTCAACTACGCCCGCTCCATCAGCCGCCGCCGCATCCCCTGAACAGACCACCAATGACGTCAGATTACGTCATACCACCCGCCGCGCCCGTCCCTCAGGAGCATCAGCGGCGTCAAATGACGCCGTCAGTGGTGTCGGTCGGTCGACATATGACCGGTATTATGCATCATACACATACACACACGTGAATATTTAAGTAGATTAAATCTATTTAAATGCGGTTACGAAGGGGCTCGGATTAGAGCGTTCTGCGATGGCTTCGATCGGAGCCGCGCCGTTACTTGTTTTCGTTAGTGGATGAAGCCCACGACCTGTGTATTTATGTCGCTACGTTCGGCCCACCGGTAAGCAGCGACTGTTCCCTGTAAGACTGTAAGATATGTGTGTGTATGGAGCGCTGGCTCGCGTTGGCTGTAAACGAGGGAGTCAGAATGTGAGACTTATCTTACCGATTGTGCCACTATAATACACTGGACTGTATTGAAGTACTGTGTGTTTCGGAAGACATTCAATTACGACCTACCGGTGCTATAGCGAAGCCCCCGGTAACCAGCACTCCCCCCTCCCACTAAATCCCCACAAGCACGCACAGCGCTGATTTCTAAAGACCCTGACCAGGCGTGGACCACGTATCCCAGATATCAGCTATACCTATCGTGAGTGTACCGGGAACCGAAACTAATTAGTAACCCGCGCTTCAGAAAATTTGTCAGGCGTTCACTACAGGTCCTAGCTAGTATTGGTAACAGTTGCATGGACTGTGACAGGCACGCTGATACACATGTTAGTTCCCTTGAAAAAAAAAAAACCAGCCTGCGAGATGTCCAAATCCATCGAGAGCACAGAAACCGAGTCGGTAGGAGTCCCAACATTCTGCAAGTCCAACGTTCGCTGTCAATTGGGTGGAAACAGCAGAGCTGTCACGATTCAGACTGTGAGTTTGAACGGTAATGCCGAAGTTTGCATCAGAGTGAGTGAGATCACTGAAGTAAATGAAAGTAAAAGAATAGGTACGATGCAACCGTGAGCCAACTGAATAACTTTCAGCTTAACCTTAACTGGGGTCTGGGGCAGTAAACCATCCATTCAGTGAACGGAAGGTTATTGAAACGTTATCCACATTCACCTGAATTTACTGCCACTACTCACCGCTAAATAGTAGGCACTAGGTGACATGAGAAGAGTGCATGCCATCGCCTACGAAATTACACCGGTGAATGCAGTCACTCATGTGAAACCAGCCATACTCCAGTGCAGTGTTTGCCGCAAACGCTATAAGCACGTAACGCTATTTTAGAGGCACGGTAGCGCTGGTAAGATTTCTGGTGGAATCTGTCGTAAGCAGTGATTTGCTTCAAACTCTCACTCAGTGGTCTTATTGCTCGCGATAAGACCATGATTAGACATATGAACGGACTTCAAGTGTATTTGGTAGCTACAACCACCAATCGGGAGCACTGATGAACAGCCCTGCGGAGTCGATGACTTCAACTCCGGTTTCCAAAAAGCAACTCCTTCTCCAACTCCGGGCAAGACTGTCGACTCCGACCGACTCCGAAAGCACAGCCCTGACAGGTCTGCGGAGTCCATGGATTTTCGGTGACTCCGACTCCGGCTCCAGCTGCCGGCTCAGCACGGCGGCATCGGGCACTCCCTCCCCAGGGAATCTGTGAGCAGTCACAAGTTTCAGCCGCCCATCAATGGGTCCATGACTGACAGAACGTGCAGCGGGCTCAGCACGTGACCGGCCGCGGGTGAATCTGCCGACAGCATGCCGCCGCGACAAACGGCTTTCTCCAGAGAGGAGACACGGTGAGCCCGAGCGGAACCGTCACAGATATCAGATATATCGTGAGTGCCAAAGGTGCACAGTAGTCATGATGTGTGGAACGAACTGGGAAAAGGCAACAGGATGTGGTGATACTGACAAAGGGGCGGACATGATCGGACGATTGTGATAAGAAAGTTGACGGGTGTAAAATACACTGTGTGTACGTTAGCAAGTGTACCTAACTATTAATACCATAGATAACATGAATCTATCTATGCTAATAACCAAAGGTTTTACATTTATGCCTACCACTGCTTCGAGACTATAACAATTATCAGCCAGATCAACATCAAAAGTTCGAGTTATCCCGGGCAGAAATGTGACCCATTTCGCCTCCTGAAGGCCACGGTCTCTCTTATTATACTTCATTCCAACGTGTTTCATCACACGGAACTGACACATTCAGAAATTTCAGATGAGCAGGTTTCACTTTCAGGAACACCTCAGTAGAATCTCAGAAACAGGAGAAAAGCCTCAGAGGCATTAGTAAAATATGTATTTGGAACAGATAATCAGAGAATGTGTATAAATAATTACGACCGATCGATGAATACTATCACCGGCAGCACCTTGAGACCTTGAGACTTGAGACAGCACCTTGAGACCTTGAGACTTGACCTGGCGTCCTGCCTGAGCTGACAACGTTCCGACGCGATACCCCATGACCTTGGCCCCGTCCATCCACACACACAAACGGCCGCGGCCGCTGAGAAAGTGTCGCGCTGCCGAGGGGGACGGACCGCCACTTTCGCCGTTGGTCGGCGCACACCGAGCCGCCGCCGGGGGCAGCTCTCGAGGCGGACGCAGGCCCCGGCCGGCCGGCGCGCGCGCCGCTACCAATCCAGGCCGGCGCGGCGGCGAGCTGCTTTCTCCACCGTACGGATGGAGTCCCAGGGAGTAGGACGGTCCCAGATGGCCGGATACATGCAGTTATAACCGGTGGACTCGGGAAATTGGTCAGGGTGCAGGGACTGGGATCAGGCCTCGCGGTCACTAGAACACATTAGACCAGGTGAGGGACATGTATTTAAAGTTCGTCGACAAAGGTAGCTGCCATATGCAAGGCGACCGGTCCCCACACGGAAGGCCTCTGCTCAGAGTCGGAACAAAATCACACGTGTTGATGGAGCACGACGCCAGATGGTCCCTAATCTCTTCACACCCTAGCTGCATGCATAAATATTCGACTACCATCCCCAATCAGCTCAGACGGAACAGTTACGTTTGACCGGTTAGGTCTAAGAACAAACCAGTCGAGGCTTATGCGAAGTTTCTCTGACCCATGCATTTTCCATTGACCGATAATGTCCGCATAATCAAACATATGCAATCGCTGCATGAGGAATGAAACTCCAGAATGGATGCGCAGCTCCGGTGTCGCGGTTTCCAATCGGCACGAATGAATGACCATCTGGCACGTTATGCTGATGCGACGACGACGGCGGCGAAAGTCCAGAGGCAGTTTGACTGAGTACAGAGACAGGACACACAGTACGGCATGGTTCACCGGAGACTGGACGGAGGAACGAAACGGACAATCAGAGCGATAGAGTGAGCTCTCTTCCGCGGGACTGGCCATCGGAGATCCTTCAAATTCGCTGGGAGTCGGCACCACGAATGCTGTTCCGAAGAAATGAAACTCGGACAAACCTATTCAGATATGCATCAACTATGGGTATATTAGCCGCAGTTTTATTAACCCGCCCTTGATTGAGCCTCAATCCGAAGGCCATTGACTAGGGGGGGGGGGGTGCTGCGTATCTACGACACTTGAACATCGTAGCGAAACGCGCGGAGCTGCATAGGCGAGATTTCACAGAGCCGCACCGGAACTTGAAATTCGTGAAAGTTGTATTTTGAGGTCACGAGACGGACCAAAGCCTTCTTTAAATTATAGGCAACGGCACAAAAAAAAAAGAGCTCCGGTAAGGTGAGTTTTTGGAAACTGAAGTATCTTCTATCTTGGTGAGTAACTATGCAGTATGCACGCATGTGAACGTGCGCATGCGCATTGCGCATTTGGGGAGTATGCTCGGTGTTCATCGGCCGCAACGGTGCGGCCGGCGGCCTCTGACCTCCTCTCGGGCTCCCTCTTCCTGACCTCCAGTGACCGTGTCAGCTGCAGCGCCGGCCGAAAAACGGCCTCTTCTTCCCGCGCGCGGCAGCCTCCCGGATGTGAGGCGCCGTCGCCGGCGGCGCCCCGGCGGGCCCGTTGCCTCATTGCCGGCGGCCGGTGCGCCGCGCGTGGGTCGACCTGTGTGATCCGCGGACTTTCACCGCCGCGCCGTGCCGGAGGGTCGGCCGGCCGGGCTCGTTACGCCGCGGGCCTGAGGCCGGCTCTGAGTCAGAGCCCCGGCGCTCTCTGACGTAACGGCCGCCCTGCGGTCCATCTCCCAGTGACGGAGCAGTGACGGAGCACCGTGACGGCCAGCTCCGGCGTCACGAACCCGGCGGGCCGTGACGTAACGCCGCAGCTGGCCGTCACAGGTGTGCGACGGCACGGAGCTCTTAGGGCGTTCGGTGACCAGCACCAAACGAAAACGCCGCCGTCAATGCCGCTGTTCATTAGGCGGGCGGGTCCGAGCTGGGCGCGGCGGGGGTCCGTGCCGCAATACACGGCGTGTCGGGACTCCAGGGAACGGAGCTGAGAGACGCCCGCCCATTGCACCGCAGTGCGGGTGAGGGGGATTGTGGTAGAAGTTGCAGACGCGCGCCGCGTGAAGTCAGGAGAGATTTCTCACAGACCGACACGCAAATCAGCCAGGTCTCACTCCCAGTGATTGCAGGAGACTCTCAGGCCTCAGCCTGTGAGACGAAAAGCTTAAAGCTTGGCTGCATTCAGATCGCATAGCAATTATGCAAGCCCGACCAAAATACGACACCGGCAACTTGTGTCAGTTATGAAGTAAAAGCCGATAAATATGCCGTTTTTGTGGTGTAAAGCCTACATGGAAAGCGACATGCCACTGAATTCAAAGAAGCTTTCATAAGACAAGTAACTGTCAATGAGCACTGAGCAGGCCGTGGCATGCGAGCAACGATAAACGCCCATTCAGACTGCGTTTCGTTGTGGGAAAGGATTCCGGTTACAATCTGGGTAAAATGAACCCTTTCATTTATAGTCACGGCTCAACGCCAGCCTCCTTATCAGCATATTCTACAAAAGCAGCCAGTTATTATTTGTTGCAACAGTAGGTTTGGTTTCTAATCAATCATTAGTTCCAGCTAACCCGCTCACTCGACCTCACTTTAACGAACCCCTTGTTCCACATCAGTTCACTTACAGATTATCGGATAATGAATAAGGGAACGCAACATTCACTATAAACTCATAGCGACGAACGAGCAATCATTCTCATTTTGTCTTGCTTCGTGAACAAGGCAATAACCGACATAATTCAGTAAACATGACGATTGACCAAGAGACCGCCATTGAGAAAGGGACATTTTTAATCCACATTCCTGTACCATACCACGCATGCTTTTTGCGAGGTGAACGATTATTTTCATTTTACATAGGTACAAATTTAGCTAGTTGGCCTCAGTTTGTCAATTAGGTAGGTAGCCACTTAACAAGTTTTTCGAACAGGCATTGTCATGGCCCGATTGCCCGTTGTCCCTGAACATTGGTGCAGACAGCCATTTAGCCAGGAGCATAGCTAGAATGCCGGGGTCGCTCGAGCCCCGAACTATGTAGAATGTGGTTGTCATTATGCAGCCGACTCAGCGGTCGGACACTCCGAGTCCCTACTCCAAGACGGCATGGAGACGAACAAACTTAGCCATGATAGTCCGTAGGTGGTCGTTCATTGGCCGAGTTTTCGCTTTCCTCGAACTCTCTTCACTTCCACTTTCTACGACCCACCATTAACGGATTCCATTAATTGTTACCATTAGTGAACTCAGTCTGATGACATAGCACTTAGCTCTGGGTGTTGTTTCGAAAATCAGCATTGTGCATCAGACCAATAAAATAGCTGTCATATTCATGATGTCCCCTGTCGGCCTAAGCTGTCACATGTTGTCTGTCACCAATAAACGAACGCCATTCCGTTTTACTCGCCGTTTTGATGGCTTACTACCACAGCTCTCTAGTTCCACAGCCTGTGACCCAGAAGAAACTGTTTTCAAGGCACAGCTCCAGTTTCGGTGAAAGACGCCATTGTCCCGGCTTCGATAACAGCGGATGGAGGCATTTCACCGCCTTGGATGTGAGGAACATTATTTCATTACTATCCATTGTTAGAGGCAGGGGACGCCGTATGAAAGAAAAACGCGCTGTAGTTCGGATACAATGAAGGTTTAATGTGAAGAAGTGGCAAGTGTCCCGCCTGACGGTCACTTACAGTGCCCTTAGCACCTCCACGTAGCGGTATAAGGCACCCAGCGGGAATCCCAGTTCCTACCCCGACATTACGCCGCCGTCCTCTATCATATCGGCCAGCCTCGGTGCTAAAAAGGTAATGAGAAGGTACCATGGGACTGGGGGACGGCACAAGTTCTGGAGTTAAACGATACTCATCAAAACGGCAACACATTCTGGCGAAATCCACGCTATCTCCATCGATTCGGCGTCGAAAGTAAAAAGCGGACACGCGTGCTTGCAACAAAGAAACTACATACAAGCATAGCTGCAAGCGTAGACGGTCACAAAGCGCGATAGAAGAAAAATGGGGCCTGTTTCCACCAGAGTTATTATCATCAGAGCCAAATATGAGCCAGATGAATAAAACAGACCAATATAAACGGCAATATGGCTGCAGCTAAATGGATAGTAATAAACACAGATGGCTTGGGATGAACAGCGAGACGGAGCTCCAGTCCTCTCTCATTCATTCAGCCACAGAGGCAATACGCGGCCCTCTTTATACGAGTATGTCAGAGTCCAGACAGACAGTAGAAACCTCACGAGCCATGACAGCGCCGCCATGTCATTACTGCCCCCCCCCCCCCTCCCTCTGAAGACGCGCTCGCCGCCACTCGGCACAGCACGCGCCGTAGCTCGTCTGAGGCGAGCCACTGTCACGGCTCGGCTCGCTCGGCCCAGTCATCACACCGACACTGAACACCGGTGGAAATCGACGCCGTAATGGACTTTCGCTCGCCACCTCCACACCATTCCGACCATGGCGACACGATCTTCTCATCTCTCCTCAGAGAGAAGGAGAGGCGAGCAACCGCCGAGCTGCCGAGCTGATGGTAACACATTCCTCTCCTATTCCCGGCTACTGACCCATCGTCGTGTGTCGAACTACATACAGCCATGACTCACGGTTCCGGCCCTGCGCACACTGCACCCTGTTTATGGTCGGAGGACGATCGGTAGCCGCAGGATGACCACAGGACCGCCGGGGGTGCCGGTCCGGCGGCTCCACAGTGAGCACCACGCTCCAGTTGACTGCCGGGTCAGGGGATCAGTTTCACAGCGAGTATTTCACCGGTACAGAGATCGATGTCCCGAGGACTTATACCAGAGTGAGCGCGAAATGAAGCGAGAGCGACGGTGTATCGGAGGTGTCTTGCCTTCAAAAAGGTACACTTACGAGTTTAACAACGATTTTGTGGGCAAACTAAAAGAATGTGAGTTTAAGCTTCGGGGATACGATTCGGCCAATTCATAAGGTAACATTTGGCAGCTGTGATTTCCAAGAATGGATTTATGCAAATGAGTCACAATTTAGGGCGCCGCTTTGCATATTATGACTGTTTGATTGACTCTACCGCCAACATTTCGCAGCTGATGATTAGGTCTGCAGGAAAATTGCAGGTTCCAAGACTAGGTACGAGCTTGGACATTTTATCATCCACCAAATGGAGATAAGTCAGCTGAAAATGGGACAACACTGTAGCAATGCTGGCAATGTATTCGATGGGAATAAAAATAGCTGATGATGATTTAGAGTGACAGGGCGCACCAGCTGCGAGGCTATATCGCGCCCATTTCTTATTTGACTTCCTCAGTGTCGGGCGTTAAAAATCACCTGAAGGCCGGAGGAATAAAAATAGCAAATCTGTAAGAATATGTTCATGAATATGTGGGAGGTTTTACATCGATCACTTCGCCTTTTTATTATTTCCACTCAGCACACTGCTGTGTTCGTTCCAGAACTCGTCACCGATAATATCACAGTTTAGCACTTTCACCACACCGACCGGCTTCGGGTCAGTCCTCACACCTTCCGAAGCCGGCGCCGTGCTTCCATCTGGTGCGCCAGTATCAGACGAGAGTTTCGAGTCCTGCTCACCAGGCGTCTCTAGCGAGCGGACTATCACCGTCCCTTTTCTGTACAACGCCGGCTCATCGTTGTAGTTGATGCCGAACTCCGAGAACAGAATTTCGTTCTTATCGGCAGCGAGTGTGTGTCGTAGCCTCTCTTCCGCCTGGGACAGAGCGCACCTGTCACTGCAGGGAAGCCCACACCACCTCCCGTCCCGGCCCGGAGAACTGGCCGTCCGTCCGTTCGTCCCATGCGGCAAATCGGACGGCAGACCGTCTCCGGAAACAGGAAATGAGCTCTCTCAAAATAACAGTGGAAAGAAAAAGTAGCTCAGGAAAGAGCAAAAGACTAGGCAGTTAACAATGCATCAGCAAGAGAGCTAGCAATAGCGCATTATTCTAATAGTCAATCCCAAGCACTACAATGAAATCCAACTAAAAGCTAATCTATCCCGCCCCGGACGTCGACACGGTACCTGAGCGTTGGTGACTCCGCCGCGGTTGACCAGCGCCCAGAAGGCGGTGTTGTAGAGATTGTTGATGTGACAATCGGCCTGACGCCAGCTGAGGTAGTCGCGCAGGTTACGGTCGGTCGGGTAGAGCACCACCCGCCCGTCAAAGGTGGGCGGCTGGCGCAGCGCGCGCGCACCCATCACAGACGGCCAGTGGAACACGTAGCTGGACGAGAACTGGCTGACCACCTGTCCAGATGCGGGCCGCATCAGCAAAGCGGGACTGGGGGAGCGGGTGGCTCTCTGCCAACCACGCACGTATAATAGCGGGATGTTAAATATTGTGAGGTGAACTTTCGATAAAACACGACGAGTATCACGAGTTTACTGTCAGCTGTAACGGTCAACGAGTCTAAACTTTGACTGACGTGAGTTCGGATGTTGTAGACCTGTGACAAAAGCTCCGTGTCTGTACCCACTGACCTGCGACATGAGTTTGGAGGCGCGCCGCCGGTAGACGGTCGTCTGTCGCCGGAATACGAAGCTGTACTCGTCACTCTGACCGTAAGCCAGTACCAGGTCCGGCCGGAACAGGTCGACCACGTCTCGGGCCGCGCGCGTCATCAGCTCCAGCGCCGGCGCGTCGTTCGGCTTCTCGAAGCCGTGCTCGTTCGTGAACCTGTGGAAGCCCTTGCCGTCGATGCGGACCACGATCCAGCTGTTCGGGAGACAGAGGTCGTCAAGCTCAAAGTGACGCACGTACTCGTACTTGGACTTGGCCATGGCAGTGGTGGAGAGGCTCAGGGCACGGATCGAGGGCCGCGTGAGACTCCCAGAGACGGAGAGCGGCGGGCGGCAGACAGAGGCCAGCAGACGGGCACACCTCTGCATACAGCACTCCCTGGAACCACAGGGCAGATGTGACAACAAATGACATTTCAACCTGCACCCTGCTGGGGGAAGGGCAGAATCTGCCCCCCACATTTTTTTATTTTTGCATATAACTTCTGAACGCTTATTGCCAGCTGGCATGAACATTCAGTTCCTTGTCATCATAATTGATTTGACGTGTTCCCTTGAAATTGGAAAGAATTTCATATTTTATACAGTACCAAGTGCATTTTAATGACATCATACACATCATTTTCACTTCATCATGGTTTGGGTTACAATAAGATTTGCAGCCAATCATAATTAAATAAGCTTAAGTTGAGCTCCCTGCAAGTAACATAACAATTAACATGGCTGTGATTGAACTTTGTAAGCCGTTACATAGGTACCTACCTACTTAACTACCATTCCCTTCTAATATTCAACTACCAGTTCCTGCATCCTATCAGTCACCCTGGCTATCCAAAAATATTGGCAATCGATAAATCAAAATACAAATAATTACAAAAAAGAACAAATAGTTCATGCCGCATGGACGCGTTTCGATAGCTAAATCTTCATCAGCATGACGAGCACGACATAATCACAAAGAAAACAAGATATAGCACACAAACATTCAAGCTCGTCACAGTGCAATCGTGTCTATCAATATACAAAAAAATACCTGTAACACCCAACCAAACAAGTACACAAACACGGGAATTATGATTGCGGGGAAACACACGTGCAAACTACTCGGGGAAAGTCGCTATTACATTCTTTTTAAATATGAATAGCACAATAGAAGCCTGCCAACAGGATTGGACGAATCATATTAGTCGTACAATCAAGGCCATATAAAGTGTACAATGAAATAGCACTTACGAATACAAACTATGAATGCAGCAGCTGCGTGGTGTTTGTCTACCAAAGTGCAGGCATCCAAACTCTAATATTTTCAAGATTACTTTACAATATTTTTACCGTAAAGGTAATACGGTTTCTACTAGATTTAAAAAATAAAAACCATTTTCCAGTTAGAAAGTTTATTTCTTATTTTACATTTGACAGTGTGGTGTTAACTGAAAAATACGACAAATATGTTTCTGATTTTGAAATAACAGAAAAGAAAACGCTGTCTGTTGTTAGCTTTTACCTAATAGAGAGGGATTCCTTCATTTATTTGGAAGTTTCACAGCTTTTCTTGTGTGTTTGTGGCTGCCAGAGAGTCGGCTCGTGTCGGGGTTGCTGCGTGTTTGTTGCTTTTTTATTGATTTCCGTGGTGCATAAATGCTGATAAATGCATTCGATGCTAGTTAGTGAATCATTTCGATCTGTAGGTTAACACTGCCCTATTCAACAGCGTTTTCTTCCTTGGCGGGGCGATGTCGATGTGAGTGGCTCAGGTTGTGGTGGGCGGCAGCCCAAGCCGCGCCATTGCCTTTTTATGTATTTTATCGTTGTATTTGTGTACATCGTTTAGGATATGGGGAACAATCGTGTGCATGTGCTGAGTCAAAAGCTTAGCTTCATCGCCTGCACCAGGGCCCTGTTTCACTAGTGATAGCAGCACACTGCTATTCCATTTCGCGAGCTGACGTCACACTTCTGGTAGTGTTGGAGGAATAGGCTTGCTGACGTCTCCATGGAAACCCAATTTGACATGTGTAATAGCGTGCTGCTATCACTGGTGAAACAGGGCCCTGGCCGCCCAGAAAGATTCCCATGGGCATGGAGCAGTAATCGCCACACATTTGTAGTGATGTGGATTGCTCTTAAATCTAAATACAAATACAATTACAAATGGAGGGAATGCAGAGCCAGATTGCATTATTGACATTTGACAGGAGCACCCCAACCCTTGTCCCAACCCCAGATTTGTGCCAATTCAATGGGAGTGCATGCCTAGCAGTGGCGCAGCCAGAACTCTGGCGACGGGGGTGAGAGACGTTCGCGATGGGCCCCCCAGCAAAGTGGGCCCCCTCAACCTAATGGGGGCCCCTTACCAACAACGAAAGGTCAGATCATTGTCCTGATCATTACCAACCAAATCAGGGAAAAGGACAAATATCTCTTGATCTGAAGAGGCACGTAAAAAACAACAGCATATTTACAGAAACACGACCATTCTGCCCATATTTGATGGACAGCGTGCAATTGATGGCCAGCGGCCACTCAAATGGTCGGGCTAGGTCAAAAAGCTTTAAAAAAAAGCTAAACGTTAGTTTTTCGATCATTACTTTTGATATACCTAGGAGACGAGGTCGAGTAATGAAATTGTCTTGAAGGTGTTAATCATTCATACGGATCAGTTGATAACCATCATGAACTTCTCAAGTAAGGGCATGACCTTGATCTGCGGTCACATTTTGAAGTTGAACTTTTTACGAGAGAATGATGACATAGTAAATGTCTCATAATTTTTCTCACCAAAGTTCTTGCAAAAGTTCTTAGCAAAACTATTTTGGTAAAATGCGACTATTTAGATGGTTTTGCCCTCTGCTCTGTTGCCAGCCCATTGACATGAGGCATTGAGATCAAATCTTAAAAGCGAAACCGTTTTGAAAGGCCTGTCGAATGAGTTGTTCCGCGAAGCTCTAGCTCTTTGGTTCACGAGTTATACGTTTATTTGTGAAAATATAAAAAGAAGAATTTTTCGTGGTAATCTTGTCTTTGTGTTTATCATAATTTTATCATAATTTCATCTTCAATGACCTCAGCAATGACCTAATCCAAAAATGACCTTTACGTTTCTGAAGCATCCTACAGCTATCTGTTGCTTTTCTCGTCTTTCTAGCCTTCTTAAATTATGATCGGGTTTGGCCGATACGCCCCCCCCCCTGGCTGATTGCACGCGTTAGAGCTATCGAACCCACTTTCAGCACGCTATAGCTTTATATGTTCTCGAGTGTCGAAATAGGCGAAACTTTTCCTTCGATGAACATGATGACGAGGGCTTTGGTCTGAACTACAACATGACTGAAGTAATTTTTCCATGATTTTCGACGCTCATAAGAAAGCCGCCTACCGCCGCACTTGTCGCTACGTGACCCTGGAGTCAGGTTAGAAGGGAATATTCAAACCCCTCTCAGGGGCGTAAAACTGAAAAGCCTGGGGCCCTGCTCTGCGGGGCGCGGTTGAGCTAGGCTAGAGCCAGTTCGGGATGTTTACAAGCCCACGTAAAGCCCTCAAGAATCTGCATAGAGCACAGGCCTTCCAAGACTTGGGGGTTTAGATATCAAACATCGACATGGTCTTTTGAGACCTGCGTGGTGGCTATCAGAGGTCGGTGGGCCCCTCAAAAGCCGGTGCAGGAGCCTCAGGTGTCAGTTTGGAGCCATCATGGACCGGTGTGGAGTCCTGATGAATACCTAGGCGTCAAACCCCTACATAGACGTCAGGGTGGGGCCGGGCGGTGAGGCAGGCACAGGCCTGAAGAGAAGAGGAATTTTCAGATGTCGGCTTGGCATCTTAAGGACCCTGCATGGCTTTCTCAGAGGCTGACATGTCGTACTGCGGGACCTCCACGAGCCTCAAAAACCTCTATGGGCCCCCTCACGCTTGGGGTAGGCTTCCTGAAGCATAAAATCTCTGAGTCTTGAGATGGGCCCATAAGACACGAACAGGGCCATCAATATACATGTGGTGAGTTGGCCTATATCAAACATGATATCGGCTCAATCAGGATTGGGATAGGCCCTCTCAGACCCAGACCAGGCACGGAGTACGGACCCTCCCACACATAGGATGATCCTTTCATTCCTGGGATGAATCTTCTCAGGCCTGAACTGGGCCCTCTCAGACCTGACTTGGGTCCCTCTCAGGCCTGAAGTAGATCCTCTCAGGCCTCAAATAGGTCTTCTAGGGCCTGAAATGGGACCTCTCAGGCCTGACATTAGCCCTCTCAGACCTGAAATGGGCCCCTCTCAGGCCTCAAATAGGACCTCAAGGGCCTGAAATGGGCCCTCTCAGGCCTGACATTAGCCCTTTCAGACCTGAAATGGGCCCTCTCAGACCTGAAATGGGCCCCCTCAGCCCGGAAATGGTCCCTATCATGTCGAAAAAGGGCCCCTCAAACCGTAACTGGCCCACTCAGGTCTGAAATAGTGCCTCTTAAGCCTGAAATGGGCCCCTCTCAGGCCTCAAACGGGCCCTCTCTGGCCTCAAACGGGCCCTCTCTGGCCTCAAACGGCCCCTCTCTGGCCTCAAACGGCCCCTCTCTGGCCTCAAACGGGTCCTCTCTGGCCTCAAACAGGCCCTCTAGGGCATGAAATGGGCCCTCTCAAGCTTGAAATGGGCCCCTCAGGCCTGAAATGGGCCCCTCTCAGGCCTGAAATGGACCCAATCAGGCCTCAAACATGCCCTCTAGGGCCTGAAATGGACCCCTTCAGGCCTGAAATGGGCCCTCACAGGCATCAAATGGGCCCTCTCAAGTCTCAGGCCTGGAATTTAATGGGCCCCTCTCAAGCCTCAAACAGGCCCTCTAGGGCCTGAAATGGGCCCTCTCAAGCTTCAACTGGGCCCCTTCAGGCCTGAAATGGACCCTCACAGACCTGAAATGGGCCCTCTCAGGCCTGAAATGGCCCTCTCATGCCATGGAACGGGCCCTCCTAGGCCTTGAATTAGTTCAATCGGGCCTTGGATGTACCTCCTGAAACATAATATGGGACTATAAATCCTAAAGGGGGGCTATCAGGCCTGAAAACTGTTTTTCAGTCCTATGACGGACCTTGACATTAGTGATAAAAAAATGCATAACGTTACAGTTCGAATCGACGGTGGGCCCCTAGGATAAGAGACGGGGGTGAGATCTCACCCCTTTCACCCCCCCTGGCTGCGCCACTGATGCCTAGCATGTAGAAGTGCATGCCTTTGGTGAAATACGCCTTTTGCATCCTAACTAAGCCCAAAATTAAAGAATTTCACACCACATCACCACAAATCATAGGTATATCAACCCAAAATTATTCATCAATGCTAAAAATCAGCCAGGTAGGTTCACCACAAGCAGAAATAATAGTGATTTTCTCCATTTGCAATCTTTACAAATTGAAGAAATTCACAAAAACATGAAACATAAAGCAAAAAGAGAAAGTACATATCCTTCTTAGGTTCAACCGTTCAAAAGTGAGACCACACATCAATACTTACAATATTTTTTACACATAACGTTTAGAAGTTACACCAAACCACACTTTGAGTCAGGTAAGGTTATGTTACTTTAGGTAAGGTTTGTTCAGGCTAGGTCAGGTTTTACTTTTTGGCTATATCTACTCTTTGTAAAAAAAAAAGACAAGGACAGACTATTGTAACAACACTCAGAAATTCTACCATATCAACCAATTCTGATCATCAAGTGATACAAAGAGTTCAAATGTGTGCTATTTGATGCTATCACCACTCATTCATTTATAGATACATTTTACCTGAATCCAAATGACAGCAGTCATTTTTGTTCTGCAGGTGATTGTGTCAGTGACGGCTCGCTCGTGGGACAGCATCTGTGGCGCAGTTAGTACGGTCGGCACGCGGTGACAAAGGTGACTCGGCCGCCGCCGAGCCGATGCTCAGGTGACAGCCATGGGACGATCCAGAAGCCGGTCTCCGAAGCGACACGCGCACAAGAAACACTCGCGGAAGCGGTCCCGATCGCGGGAGCGCCACCGTCGGGACCGTGACCGTGACCGCAGCTCGCGCACCAAGGAGAGGAACAGCAAAGTCAGGTGAGGCGGCCAGCGGGCAGGTCACGGATGACCGCCGCCGGGACGACGCTGATAAGTGCTGAGTACGTTTAGATTCATTATTAAGTGATGTTACCCCTCAAATATGGCACGTGACGTCTAGTTTCAGCCTACTGTTGCTAATGCCTTTGCTGGCGGGTGCCATCTCCCCCTTCAGCTGCCTGTGTGCGCTGACGTGGTTGGCCGTGTCACCGACAGGCGACGCTCGTGGTCGTCGAGCAGCAGCAGCTCCGATGGCGGCACGCTGGACGAGTTTGGCCGGGCGCGCCGGCGCGAGAAGCTCGAGGAAGTGGACCGGCTGGCCGAGCTAGAGCGCATCCGGTGAGTTTGGGGTGGCAACGATGGCATCGACAGTTGGGGCTCACTGACTGGCTGTCTCGGTCACTGGTGGTGACTGGTCTTCCGCGTTACCCCTTCCTGTTTAACCGTCCTGTCTTACGCTGGTCAGACTGGTAGAAAAGAATAGCCGACAAAGGTCAAACAAAGGCTCTACTCATGTGTAAAAGAGGATTTCCTCGCACATATTTCATATCGTACATGTTGAGTCGTCGCTGGCGATTGTCGAAACCCTTGTTTATGAGCCATTAGTGTGTCCGCGGCTGGAGGCCACTGACGGCTCCGTCTCGGTCCCCCAGGCGTCAGAAGGAGCAAGAGCAGCGCCAGGTGGAGGAGGAGGCCGAACGGCGCATCGAGCAGCTCATCGAGAAGCGCGTCCAGGACGAGCTGGAGCGGCGCCGCGCAGAGATCGAGGCCGAGGTGCTGAAGCGCGTCGAGCAGGTCAAGGAGGGCATGGAGAAGCAGATGCTGGAGGAGCTGGAGCGCAAGCGGCAGGAGCAGCTGGAGGCGCAGCGCAAACAGGAGGTACGGCGGCCGGTGGCCGGAGGTGCCGGCGGCTGACGGGCCGTATCGGCTGACCCGCGGCCGGCCGGGGAGGGCGGCCGGCCGACACGGCGCCGGCGCTGTCCCGGCCGGCCTCCCCGGCTGTCCCCTACCCCCAGCCCTGTCCCACCTCCCCCTGCCCTGACCGCTGTCCGCAGGAGGGCGGCCGGACCGACCACCGGCGGCCTACCCCCCGATAGGCGTGCCACAGTGCCTGTGGCGCAGGCGGTCGGGTGGCCGGCCGTCCCCTGACTCCCAGATGGTGTGAGAGTCGAGGATGTCATTGCAATAATCGCCCACAGGGAGGGGTGTTCAGAACTGCGTAGTTTTCATACAAACTGTCAGGAAGATCAACTGACATAGAGGGTTTCCGTTTTCAATCGGGCCCGGTACCGTCTGTGTCCTTGATGACCTTGTTTTGATATAAAGCACGAGTCTGGTTTTTACTTTTTGTCGTGATTTACTGACGTCCCATTCTCGCATGTAGTTTTACATGCCCTTCTCCATGTCAATTCCACCCCTCATGCTCTGATTTTTCATACATCAAGGACACGGAAATTTAATTAATATCTTAAACTAACAGCACGTTTTACCCATCCGCCGTGCTTGGTGTTCATTGTCATCGCGATATTGATTGCGCTCGACTGTCCTCATAAGTCATGACGCACTTCATGACGGATTTGTGCCTTTGTTTCTCTGACAGTAAAAAAGATGCGCCAGCTGTCCGCTTGCTTATGAAAGGGAAGGCATCCCATTGACTCACTCTGTAGATATTGGTTAGACGGTTTAAAATTGTTAAAAACTACCATCTTTGCAGATTAGCATCCGTTACTTGATTTCATATTCATTGAAGTTTTTACATGACATAAAAGTCGCCCTACGAAGCTTTGTAATCAAACATGTATTAATGATGCGCGATGAGTTTTTGAAAGCGCTAATGTCTTATGGTTCCCTGGGTGCGTCTCACGAACGGACCGGCCAGTCCGAAGTCCTCTCGGGCGTGGCCGTTGACCTGACCTGACCGGGGGCCACGGTGGGACGGGCAGTGTGGCGCCGTCCCGTGTGTCTGTCTCTCTCTCCCTCTCTAGCGAGCCGGCGCGGCGCGGACGGCCAGCAGACGCCGGCGGCGGCGCCGCAGCGGGCGCGGCCGGCGGCCGGCAGCCCGCGCAAACCACCGACACAAGAGGCGGCGTGGTGAGGCGGCCGCCCCACTCTCTATACTCTCGCTCTCGCTCTCACTCGCTCTGTCCGTGTGTGGCGCGCGCCGACTCGGGGCGGCCTCGCCACAGACGCGCGGCGTGCCGGCGCATCACGTAACTACCCGGATATCTGTCGGTGTGTGCTGTACAGCCACCGCCGCGGGCCGCTGTTTGGAACCGTCTGTCTGTGTGTCTGTCTGTCTGGCGGTGGCCGACGTGAGGTGATACGAAGCGGGGGCCGTCCGCCGGCCTGACCGTGTTCTCTCAGTCGCCGGTCCCTCAGTCGGCCGCTAATTCAGTAGTCAGTCCTCTCGGGTCGGGACGGGTCGGCTGTGACGGCCCTCCGGTTGTAACGGTGACTCTGCAGTCGCCCAGTCTCTGTGCAGTGCTCTCTGACCGCTCTCGTATCACCTCAGCCGACCGGCCGCCGGCGCCGCACTGACTGATGCCATGCTTTGTAGGAAGAAGAGCGGCTAAAACGCCTAGAGCTCGAACGCATTATGGAGGAGAATAACCGCAAAATCCAGGAGGCTCAAAGGAAACTGGTGAGTGGCACATTGACATTGATCTCTCCGATACACCAAAATAAGGCTCATACCTAAGTCACACCGTTTACGCTTGTAAATTAAAAGCATGTTTCACAGTTGTGACTTGTGGATAGTGTTACGGCGGCCGTTTGATCTACCTTTTCCTTCTGCCAGGCCGAGGACCAGCTGAAACTGGTGGAGGAGCAGCGATTGGTGGACGAGGAGCGTCAGAAACTCCGGAAACAGGAGGAGAAGCGCAAAAAGGAGGAGCAGAAGCGTATCCTGGGCAAGGGCGCCGCGCGACCTCGGCTCTCGTTCACCCTGGGCGGCGGCGGAGCCAAGTAGCGGCGGTCGGGCCGCGGGAGGGTTGGGAGGGATGACGAGGGAGGGGACAGGTAGGGCGGGGTGGGTGGGTGGTCGTCGGTGGTACAAAGGGCGGCGGAGGTGGCCATCCCGCACAGGGACACATCAGTGGCCACAGTGGCCCGCCCCTGACGCTGCCTGTTTTGTTAGGTCGTGTCGAATCCTCCGCTTCTAAAGTCCGATATCGTTGATCGATTGCCCAGTTCTTTTATTCAAATCATTATTTAAATTTCTAATTGACTTCGCATTTCTTCTTATTGTTACCCTTTATTTTAGTTTTTCGATAGTTTTCCGTAAATTTTGCCTTCGTAGATCAAGTTAATCAGATCTCACCTTTCATTTCCTCAGTTTTCTCTTTTTTGTTACTAACTCGTTCTCCTCCCGCGCCCATTCGGGGTGCCGTCTGTCCGGGTGTACCCCGTGGATGCCCGCTCCGTTCCGCGTTATTTCCAGTGGCGCCTTCTCGCGCCGTTGCATCGCCCGGATGGGCGCTCGTTTTTACAATGCGCCGAGCGCGTGCGGCGGCACTCATACCCTGCTCGGGTGGCTGCGCTAGTCGGCGCGCGCAGTCTGTGGGGTGGTCCGCGTACCGGCCGGTTTTAGCGGCGTACCGTACCTTGTGACCGCGGCGTGTACGTGGCGTACCGTGTACCGCGCGCCCCTCCGGCGGGCTGTGTCCAATGTAGTGAGTAACCCAGTGATGCGACGCCGCGCGCCAATACACGGCACCGTACCGTATATTGTTTGTCTCGCGCCATGACACCGCACAAGCCGGGACGTGACGGGAAATATGTATTGCTTCAGAGTCCATCCATATATAACTGGCGCTAGAAGCCCGCCCGTGTACAAACAATGCGACCCTGGAACAATGTCTATCGCTACCCACATTTCATCTCAACCGATACAGATCAGTATTAAACAATATACATCCGTATAACATCGCGCCGAGCGCAACAGACGCCTAGCAACGTCCCGTTGCGTCATTGGCACGATCAACTGCAGGCCAGTCACCCCACAAAGCTCTGTCGTCATGAAGCGCCGTATAGCATATTGACACCCCCCAGCAGTCGACAATCTCCAGCAGCTGTGATTCGTAATAACCACGGCAGAGAAGAGGACTGGACGTCGTCACTGGCACAAGGCGTCTGGCATCTCACCGCCGCGCCGGCTGGCCTGCCTTTCAGGGCCCGACTCCCCCACCACCGGCCTGTCCGATCACTCATCCACCAGCGTGATGACCATGACGGCCTCGTCGGCGGCGGTGTCGGTGCTCTGCTGCACCTCCATGCGGACGCCGTCGCCGAGCAGCTGGGCCAGCTCGGCACCCAGCTCTCCGCCGAGCTCCGAGGAGTCCAGCTCGATCTGCAGCTCGGGCAGCAGCGGCTCGGCGCCCAGACCGGGGTGCGAGTCCGGCTCGGGCTCCGAGTCAGGCGCCGGTCCCAGCGCCGGCCCCAGCGTCGGCTCCGGCTCCGAGTCGGTGCCGAGCAGCAGTCCGAGGTCGGCCGGCAGGCCCAGCTCGGGCTCAATCGGCAGCGGCTCGGCCGGCGCCGGCGGGGATCCGTGCTCGGCCGCCAGGTGGTCGGTCAGGCCGCGGTTGTGGCGGAACAGCCGGCCGCACAGCTGGCAGCCGAAGCGCGGCGCTCGGTGGTGGCGCCGGTGCAGCTTCATGCGCCAGTAGTGCGAGAACACCTGGCCGCAGTCGGGACAGGCGGTACCGCCGCCGGCCGCCGCGTGGCAGCGTACGTGGCGCGCCAGACCCGCCCGGCTGGCCGCCGTCGCCGGGCACAGCGAGCACCGGAACGGCTCCTCGCCACCGTCGTGGGTGCGCACGTGCGCCTCCAGCCGGTAGCGGCGCGTGAACGTGGCGCCGCACCGGTCACACACGTGCTGCTGGCCCGAGTGGCGCTCGCGCACGTGTCTCTCCAGGTTGGTGCGGTGCGTGTAGGAGACGGCGCACGTGGTGCACGAGTGCCGCTCACGTGGCACCGACTCCCGCCGCGGAGACATGGCGCCATCGGATCACTGGGAACATAGGGTCACATCCGGACAAGGCTCAAAACGAGTGAAACAGCACACCGGGTTACCAATGCTGCAAGAATAGGCAGAAGTTACTGCTTCTGAAAGAAATTCAATCGTCCATGAAACACATCAGAGAAATGAGTGTGAAGCACTTAACGACATCTAATTACTTTTCAGAAAATTACGAACAAATACCTGAAAAGAAAACGCGTTCTTACCAGAGGCTGAGTTTGAGTAGGCGATCCCTTTTCCAAGCTACGTTTCACGATATGGTAGATCTTGTTTGAGAAGCAAATAACGTAGGCGAAGTCCTCGTACACAACTGCAAAGAGCATGATTGTGCGATGATCAGCTGTACAGTCAGAAGGGTTAAAATCGTATAGTCGGACCTTCCAATTACTATACGAGCTATGTGACTCAAGCATCACACAACCTGTTGTTCACAGACAAGCATTCACCCAAAGGCCGATATTGGTACGTGCACGGGCAAATACAGTTAAAGGGCGGGGCCTGGAACGCCTGCCGCTCTCTCCACACAAGACACTTTAATTCCCTCAGGCGGGCGAACGCCCGCCCCTCCAGCTGGGAGCCCTGGCGTGTTCCATGGACTCACGGCTGAGTTTACGGAGCCGTCCGCCTGCCGTCAGCTGGGTGTCCGCCGCCGAGGCAGTGATGAGCTGCATCAGCCGAGCCGCAGTCGCCTCGTCGTTCTCCAGCGCACCGCCAGACTATCCAAAATAAAGCAAACTATATTTCACCGAGTTGTGAAAAACGAGGTAGATTAAGCAGCGATAAATCAATTATTAGTGTGATTGCTCGTCCAACAAGCCTCCTGTTATCAATGGTCAGCCAAGTCGGGCCTCTGCAGTGTTCGGACCTGGGGCTCTCCTGGGGAACATACCGTTATTATGGTGCCATCCTCAGCCAGCTGCAAGTGGCCCGTCTGGTCGGCGATCTTATCAAACGGAGGCATCTCTTCGCTGGCCAGCAGGACTAGCAGGGGGCCAGATTGGCATCAATAGACACTGAGGGAACATGGTCCAATCAACTGAGGCATCTGAGGAAGCAGAAGTGCAATCCTTGGAGGACACTCCCACATGGCACAAACCTTTTTTTATATTGGGCATGTTTATTGGTAATGGTATTCACAGATTTATGACAGTGTCTCAAAAATGAAGATGCCACAAGGAAAAAGAAGCACATAAGGCTTAGGTATCTCAATGGCAACTGACTTCTGAGCTTATAACATGGGTCCTTGATTTGTCCTATATAAGCAATTGTATGTGGCGTGCAACTGCATATCAACCCCTGCTACCTTCTAAGAGAAAATGTGAAAGGCAATGTATGTTTAAAAACCCTTTTATCCTCTGATAGTATAATGTGATGCCCCAAATGCTTCATGACATGAGTGCAATGGAATGTTCATCCTGCCCCAGTAAATATAGAACATACATATAAATATCTGGCTATTTAAAATCACATTGGTCAAGGCACAACTAAGTTTAGATGACAAACACAAGCTTAAAAAGGAATAAAAATCATATAAAGTTGATATGGAACCTGAATTAATCAAATGAATTAGGTTATCAGCAGGGATGCGGAGCCGTGGAAATTTCAGACGGCTCCGGCTCCGGCTCCGGCTCCGGAGAAAAAAATCGGCTCCGGCTCCGGCTCCGGCTCCGGGTGAAATGTTATGGCGGCTCCAGCTCCGGCTCCGGCTCCGAGTAAAATGGTCCGGCTCCGGCGGCTCCGGCTCCGGCGGCTCCGGCTCCGACTCAGTACATCCCCTACGCAATCAATTAAATACGGGTGGAAGAAAAATTGGATTGGTTATACGCGTTACTCTTTGCCATGACCGGCTCACCGCGTCCCCGCGCAAACGCACCTCGGAGAGAACTGGCAGAACAAAGGGCTAGGAAGCGATGGCATTGGAAACGCAGTCGCCGCGAATCGGAGTTCAGTGAACCATCGTAAGCTGACACCCGTCTCGGCTGCATTGGGGGGTGAGGGGTGGGGGGTGTGTGGGATGAGACGGTGCCGGGAGTCGCAGTCCACTGCACTGGTTTGAAAACAATGGCCGTCACCTGATGACTGGTCCTCATGTTCTGGGGATGCAGTAGACGTGGGGGGGGGGGGGGGGAAGAGCAAACAGGAAGTTGTTTGCGTACTGTGGGATACTGGGGATATTCGGATTTTTTCATTCACTTGATGGCCCATGACGTAAGTACCATATGTTTTACTGCCTTGTACTGTCAAACCGAACTAGGTCAATTATTTTTTTTCCTCTTCAAAAAATAAAAAGGAGCCGGAGTCGCCCCCTTTTTTGGCGGCTCCGGCTCCGGCTCCGGCTCCGGGCTATATTGTTTCACGGCTCCGGCTCCGGCTCCGGCTCCGGGCAAAATATGCCGGCTCCGGCGGCTCCGGCTCCGACTCCGGCTCCGGCTCCGCATCCCTGGTTATCAGTATCTGGATGACTAGCAAATAATGTTTCACCGGTATAGTCAAGTTTAGGTCCTAACTACAATTGTGACGCTGTTGATACGAATATGAAACAGCAAAAATTTTAGGTTTTAGGTTAGGTTAGGTTAGGTTGTAGGTAGGTAGGTTTGTAGGTTAGGTCAGGTTAGGGTAGGTTTGTAGGTTGTAGGTTGGTAGGTTATAGGTAAGTAGGTAAGGTTAGGTCAGGTTTGATTATGTTTTTTCTTTTATTTGCGAGACATGAGTATCAATTTTGGATTCAGGATGTCAAATAATGTAATGATATGAAAATTTATCAATGAAATCTTCTTAGGACTTTAACTTGACATTTACCGTTTCATCTACATCATGTAGATAAGTTGGTCATTTGACTTGGTAGGTACCAGCAAGTTTGGGTCTATATTTTAAAAACCTGTGATCTTGGATGCTTTAACTGCCTATTGTTTAAGAACAGAATCTGAGTTTTGAAGCACTTTACACCTTACTATGGGTTTGTTCCCGTCGCTCCTCTAACCTCCTCCAAGCTCCTCTAACCTCCTCTCGTTTCAAAAAATCGTTCCCGTCGCTCCTCCAAGCTCCTCCAAGCTCATCTTGATTTCACATCTCACCACCACTATTTGCCTCCTCCCTCATCCCAAACGAAAGTTGGATTTTTGGAGGAGGCTCTTGCGTAGACATATTTGGCGCACGTAATACAAATGTGAATTGTTTATAAATGAGATTTGAGGGAAGTGGAAATGATTTTAGTGATTGATGACGATTGGATATCTTTAAATAGTAATGTTTGATATTAATCTAAGGTTATTTTTATTAGAAAGCGATTATTATCTCTTCATTTATGTTTGCGCGCCATAAATCGCCGACCGTTACAGCCCGCAAACAGCTGATTTCCTCGCGAAACTGTTCCCGTGGCTCCTCTGAAACGGCTCTCCTCCAAGCTCATCCAACCTCATCCGAGATTTTTTGGGAGGAGCGACGGGAACAGACCCTATGCCTCCCGAAACAGCTTTCAATACACAATCAGACTGAAAACGATTTTAACATCACATCTCATTAAGAAGGTTAGTTAATAGATTGATGCTTTGAAACCTTATAATGTGTTGTTAACAGGTCCATCTTTCAGAAATATACTGAAGTAGATAAGTCATCTGAACAAACAAATAAATGTTTACATGATGTAGTAGCAAACTTTGTTGAATGAAAAATGGCGCAGGTGCGACGTACTGTAATTGACTTTTCTGGTCGTCACGCAAAATGACATTGTTCTATGGAAATAAAAACACTATAAAACGTTCCCTTTCATCATACTACATCTACTAAAGAATATCCAAAGAGATAAGACGGATATTAGACCGTAAATCAGCATAATAAACATTACTCACCCTTCTCACGCACTTCTGTTGCCATGGCAACAATTTCATGTAATGGGGTTGGGAACTCGATTTTTTAAGAATGCATTAAAATGATCAAACTATTTTCACAGAATTTATGGTGCATGCCATTGCCTCATAAAATCAATATCCTGAGAGAAATGGGGGAAGAAAGATAGGAAACTTGTTTTGAAAAGTTCTTGAAAAAAGATGCTCTTGATGCTGTTACGTCACATGTCACCTTCTGCGGTTGACAAATAATGGCGCATCTGGCGCACCACAGATTACATGTTATATCAATGGGTGAAAGATGTTGTTTGTTTCACTCTGCCATTCGCGCTGTTTTTAACTTTAAATTATGCTAAAACATTTACGGATGAAATGTTCACTGTCAAAAATTGATGTGTCTGCCGTGTACTATATTCCCACTTAACATTGAGCGCGTGATAAACATTTTATGTACCTCGAATTTTCAAATGATAAAGATGATGAATCGGAGGATGGTGAAAAGCAAAAGCTCATTCCAATATTTGGACTACTTTACGATTAAAATGTTTACATTCCTGTCATCTTATTGATCATTTATTTGTTCTTTTTTATGAAAATAACTTAAGGCGTTGAGAACCGAGGTAATTTCTATCTACCGTGCCTTAACTTACCAGCAACAGCAATCTATCTACGCCCTACGGTGGCAAGGGAGACTGTGAAAGAAGCGTAAGATGGATTCTAAACAATTCTTTTGTGATATACTGAAGGGCAAAGTGCAGAGAAGAGCGTACAAGTCCTGTTTTGTGCCAGGCTGTTGCAGCAGCACTTATGAAACTCCGAAAACGATCTTCGTTCATGTCCCGAACAACATTACCCTGAGGAGATGATCGTCCGCAATAGCAGGAAGAGCTGATGCAAGTACTTTGAAATCCACTATCAAGTCGGTGCTATTGTTGTAATGATCACTGTGAGGTGAGATATTTTGTGTAAGGGCTGAGTGTAATGCCCAGGAGATGACCTCCATTCGCCCCCTGACCGGTCAGGGTTATAAAATTTGAGTGGATGGCGGTCCGTTTGGGGTTCAGATGTCAATTGTATTTTGTTACTGTCAAACAATACATGTTATGCTGGCAGTGAATGTGTGTAACATTGGTTTTCGAAACAGAAGTTAGAACTGTAACGGCAGAGTGCTTGCTGGTCTCATCGTAAGCATTGTAAGTGTTGTAGGCAAAAGCATTGTCAATATTGTAAGCATTGTGAGCATTGATGTATGGTAGCTATCACCTCACATGATCTCGGCTCAGATAACCCTCTCCGGTGTCCCTGTCAGTAAATGGCACCTGGATCATTACAGATAAGATAATTTGTCATAATTATTAAAGAATTGGGTGGTTTTGACTCATTTACTCGAGTTGCAGGTCGCATTTCAATACTTTTCCATAGGCTTGCAATGTAAAGGTCACGACTCTGACCTAACCTCAGGTCACAGATAAAAAATTATGAGATATACGAACGACACATACTGCAGGTACTGTTTTGAAGACTTGATGAGAGGAAATAACTTCGTGAAAAACTCAAGCTCTGACGTGTTTGCAAACTTTTCTGAGGTGGGGTCAACAAACCCGCTCTGGTTACCTGACCTGACGTGACCCGGCATTTTTTTTTTTTTGCTGAGATGTGCGCAATGAGCATTTAGGAAAAGTCACCAAATATGAGCTGAATGTCTCGCGGCGTTTGGCAATTGTACAAGAAAATCCTGAAAGGCCTCCCCGTCCGAAATAGGATTAATGTGTATATGAAGAGTTGCAGATGCCAAACATACCCAGATCTAAGACTGCAGTTCCCAGCGCCGCTGCAACGTTTTTAAAACAAACATACATAGGACATACAAACATGTTTATTTGCATCTGTTTTGGATAAAAGCAACTCATGGCGCCATCACCCGCGATAACTGTAAGGATTTGAGATATATTTTTGTTTAGGCCATTAGTTTGGCTGTAATGTTTATTAATATTAGTTGGGCGGAGTTTGGTAGTTTTTATTTAACTTGTGGTATGTTGTGCTGATTGCGGGTTGTTCAAACCTTTCAAATGTAAGGACCTTATTGAACTCAACCCTACCCCTACACTACCCTACATACGACTAGACGCTTTCCAAGCCCACAAGCATGACGACGCCGAGATGGAATGTAGCCGGGAAATCACCCTCGCCATCTGCTCTAGAGCTAATCGTGTGGGGCGGCGTGTGGGGCGCCGCTTAGCCTATGGCAGGCGCGGATACAAGGGGGGGGGCCATGGGGGCCATGGCCCCCCCCCCCTTGGCCGATTTTTTTCAAAAATAAAATAAAAAGTTAAAAAGTTAAAAAGCTGAAAAGGGGGCCTCCTGAAAATAAAGTGGCCGAAATCCGATGAGTTTTTTTTAACCTACCCACTTAGTTATTTCTTAGAAGACTAGCTGAGAAGACTTCTTTGTTAGAAGATTGGTAAAGCTTTTCATAACTTGGAGGTCTCTTATACTCACAGAGATGACCACTTTTACAGGGCCTCCTAACCTGCACAGAGGGCCTCCAAGCCTGCACAGATGTTGAGATGTTGCCTGAACAGCTAGATAAGCTCAATAGACGCATTTTTTTGGGGGGGCCAACAAGTGGGAAGATGGGGCCTCCAACAGGTGGGATTATGGGGGGGGGGGGGCCTCCTGGTTTCTAATGGCCCCTCCCTTGGAGATTTTCTGGATCCGCCCCTGGCCTATGGGGGTGCACTTCTAGTGGATGGGGACGGGGGTGCACCTGCACCCCTTTCATATGGAAAGTTACTTCCCTCACCCTGATTACAGCTCCCCGTATTGCACCTAATCAGGGAACGGCCAGCAAACGGAGGAACTATTTCTGGATGACAGGCGAATAACCGCTCACGCAAGGAGCGGTGCTCCGCCCCGTCCAAACTGGCCAACAAAGCAGAGACAGAGGCAGCATCACATCTTCCATCAAAGAACTGGTTTCTGGCTTGGAAGATGAGCTCCATCTTTGCATCCGAGTCGGTGCTGTCAGGAATCAGCTGGTCTAATGGAGTGAGAGTAGTGAGACGACTAGCTATTGTATCAGAGCTGCCTGGTCTTCGTAGCATTTGCACCGATTCTTCTCGATCGGACTCTGAATTCTGTCCCTCCTGCGTATTACTTGAGGCATTGCTATGTAGCTAAGTCTTTGGCAGAGTTTCATTATCCATGCTTTGCAAACAGTGCCATAACAACACAGTTAATTAATTACCAAGCTGTTTTGCAAGTTCCAATACAGTTGAATCGCACGCGATTTGAGTGCAAAAATCAAGAAAAGTGCCAACTTGTTCCCGTAAAATATTTTGAATATTGACCTAAAAAAATGAGTAATTTCCAGATAAAATAACAGCGAAATCAGTTTTCGCTTGCCAATAAAACTCACATATATTGAAGCTCCATTATTAAAGGAACATTTTAGTATATGCCATTCTTTATAAAACTTCTTAGCCACGCAATACCAGCGCAAAATAAAGAGACACTGAAAACACGACCAATCACTCCGATTTACCATAGGAAAATACATAGACAATGTATGTCTCAACTGCGCCAAATATACAGACAGTTATATACCTACATGTGACGTCATGATTAGCCCGACCAATCAGAAGCAAGTTGTTTTCAGCCACAAATAATTAATTTCTGAACTAACTAGGCATTTTTTTAACAAAGTGATTTTAAATTAAATCATTAAAAATTCTGAACTTTTTTATTTTACCAAAACATACAGAGCATGCAGATAGGTCCCAACCCTATTATGAATGAAGGTGTAGAAGGATGCAGTCCTTCGTTGTATTTGATGACGTAAAATAATATATTTTACTCAATTTACCATTGAATCAGAGCTGTTTTTCTTATATATTTTTGATAAGTGCTAATAAAATCGTATTCTATGGCTAATTGTCCTTAAAATTTATCTAAATGATAAGAAAGTATATCGCTCAACTTGTTATGCAATCAACGTTACAGGCTGATCTCGATCCGATGTTTATTTCTTTCTTCTTAGATATGTCTCCTCAAATAATGTCGTCAGCTGACGAGGTTCGATTGTGTGCCACTTTGACGGGCTCTACTTTGACTTCTTTTGTTGGCTTGGGTGGTGATCATGAAAAAGTAATTGTTTTGGGCCGTATATATGCGTAACGTGGTGTGCAGCTTCCTTGGAACTCCGTTGTCAAATTGCTAACATATTAAATAGCTACTTACTTTTGCCTAAACTTGAAAAGCCTGTTGAAACAGCTCAACATAAATCATTGGGTGATGTTGAAACATTTGTGATCTATATATTCTATAAATCAAAATGCTTTTGACATGATTTAAGAACTTTTTAGTTTTTATATCAGACCTTTAACTATTGGATCAGCTACAATTGGTTAGTTTGAGATTGTGGGTTATTATTGGCTGATGCATTTAGTAGTTAGACATTGTTGTTAAATTATTGTCTGTTCATGTTAATTTAATAGCAACCAGCTCTATTCAAATTAGATTTTCACTGCAAGATTTTTCATTTGTACAATGTCTTTCAGGTGGCTGAGATAAGCATTCATGCTTAAGTCAAATGCTTCTCATTTCATTACGGCAATAAATGAGCAATGCCAGATGGAGGCCCAGCACCTCTGCGGCAAATGTCCCTCAGTCGGCACAGGATACTTCTGGTGCTGCCCAGCTGCAGTCCATGCTGGAAAGGCTGAAGCAGCGACCCTCTCTACTAGCTACCCAAGCCTCCTATTCCAACAATTTACCAAAAGCAACCAGTGATCTACATGAGCCCTGCAGCCAGAGCCTGGGGTATGATGTGGGTGCAAATCAACACTGCTCAGCTCGGTGTCACTCATCCACTGGTGTCACTCGGTGGCTGCCGGGTGCGGCGCCAGGCGGCTCCGGACGCCAGAACAGTGCAACTCCACACTCGGCCGAGCGGCGCCGCTCGCGCTATAGTGACGTTTCGGAGCCGACCGATCGGCCGGTGCTGACGGATCACTGCGACCCGAGACGGGACCACCGGCCGGACGCCACCCCGCCGAGTGACGAGGTCGGGCGAAAGGCAGACAAGCCTGAAGCACGCACCAATGCCGCAACCAACAAGGATGACGTCAGAGAACGTGGAACCGACGCGAACAGCTACCGGGTGGATCTTGGTGATCAGTCGGCGGAGCAGACTGCCTCTAGGGGTGACACCACGGCGCGGAGGGGGGACGGCGGCGGCAGGCGGATCGGAGCGGCGCCGGCGGCCGGTCGGCGGGGCCGGCAGCTGGCGCCGGCCGCCACCAGTCAGTCGGCTCTCAGCTCGTCGGCCGACTCCACGGCGGCCACCTCCACGTCGACGGCGCTGACGCCGGACACGGGCACCCAGACCTCGCTCACCGCCGGCTCACCGGTCCGCCAGACGCCGCGGCCGGCGGCCGGACCGCCGGCCGGCAGCGCGGCGCGCCAGTTCCAGGCGCGCCCGCGCCGCGAGTCAGTTCCCGAACAGCCGCCCAAACAAACGGCCCTGGAGAAGGCGGTTGACGGAGGCAGTTTGAAAAGCAAGTCTGGAACCATACCGCCCATCGTCCGAAAGACGCTCATGGACTTCGATCGGGTCCAAAAGCTGAAATATGCGGCGGAAACAGCCATGAGGGTGAGTTTTCCAAAGGATTCACCGTCATACGAATAGTTGATTGAAAACAGCGGTTGCGAAACTTTGCCATTTTCAGTTCTCATATAGGTACCTCTTAAACAAAGTATTTATCTACATTTTCGTCTCAAATCATACCTGTGCCAGTAATCCTTGCATGCATTCACGGTTTGACTATATGATGTCGTCTACAGGAAAAGAAGGTGTTTATGATCCACGGCGGATATCCCAGCATCCGTTTGGCGCTCAAACGCCGTGGCTGGGTGGAGAAAAAGTATCTCATCAACAGAAATGAATCGGAAGACGGTGAGTTAAATCATCTGTTCCAGTGGTGGCAAACGTCTGCTACCTTTTATTTGTTTGTGTATCAGTCAGACTGGGCTTAATGTTTAATCTATTTTAGTCATTCTGGCATTAAATGTAAACTCGAAAGGAAAAATACTTGAAGTTTTGACTTCGTGGTTGTACTTAACTTACGGATAATTTACAGTTGCGTTGGGCGTATGCGCTTCCGAATGTGCACAGCTGTGCAGCAGCACTTATGAAGGAGCCTTTCAAAGCTGTCAGTCTCTTATCGCATGGCCGGCACCAGATCGTACGTATTCTTCACATCTTTCGCCTTGGGACCGACAGTTATTTCGGATGCTGATGGTCTATCACGCACGGTCTATCACGCACTTATAGCGTACCTGTTTTTATGTCGCTCTCCTAACCGTTTCACCTTCACCCCCACTCGGTCCGACTCCGGTCTGCGCTCGGTAGATATCGACGTGTCCCGCTGGCCGATCGACACGGACAGCACCGTGACCAGCATCGGTCTAGCCGACGTGCTCAGCCTCAAGGGCAGCAAGAACTCGATGATCCTGACGCGGCTGCTCAAGGATCACCAGCCGAACTTGATCTGGTCGGCCAAGCGCGAGGTGATCGACTACGTGAACCTGGAGCGCGACCAGCTGGTCAACCACTTCCCGCGAGCGCCCTTCAACACCAAGGTACCCTGGTAGTGGCACCCACGTGCTGCGGTACTGCTGATTAACCCTCGCGGGCCCGGGGGGGCGTTTTTCGCCCCCCCCCCCTGGCGAATATTTGCGATAGCTCCCGAACGCTTAGGGACAGGAAAGCGAAACTTTCAGTACCTCTTCTCCCATCAATTTGACATCTTCTGAAGTAAAAAATTTGGACCTAGCCCCATTGATGACGTCACAAGGTCCATTTTTCTAGACCCCTGCACGGCAAACTTCGGTGTCACAGACGCAAACTTCAAATAGCTGCTTAAAATAGAGTTTTAGAGATAAAGACAAATTACGAGCACGGTTGTGTAGCGTTTGACCTAGAGAAAAATAGAAAAATAGTTTTGGTGACCTGAGGTCAGAGGTCAGGTCAACGACCCCGAAATGTGGTTTTAGTTTTTCGCAAATAACTTCGACAAAAAAGGTCCTAGAGCTACGGCAATGGTACCATCGCATTCGCCTTGTCAAGCCGCGTCGAATGATATATATTTTGTTCGGGAAAGGTCAAGTTTTATGTTGACCTCATGTGACCTCGAATGACCTCTGGTTGACCTTGACACGTGAGAGGTCATTTATGATGGATTTGTGCCCGCTGATCACGAATCTGACATCTATTTTCCTCTAAGCCTTCATTTAGGTAGAGCTTCTGGACGGCAAAATTGTCTTATTTATTATTACTAACTTGAATCAGTGAAATAGCCTCTAGCAGGGATACTCTTCTGTGAACTTGACCTTTGAGCAGCCTTGCATCGTAAGATGAACCACAAATAGGGAACTGATAAGCCTCAAAACATTTCAAAACATCTTGGAAGCTAGCACGCAAGATGTGCGAAAAAGTGCCAAGTTTGAGGTCAACTTTGAGCGTGCCCTTGACCTTGACCTTTAATTTTAAGCACATTTTCGGAATCCTCAGATTCTCTTCTTTCGTTTGACACCCAATTTTGCCGGTTTGATGCAGCCTGCCGTCCTCTAGAAGGCTTAGTTTGAGATCACTACACATGTGCCGGTTTTTGCCTTTGACCTTGACCTCTGACCTTGAAAATTGACCTGAGGTCAAAAATTTTAGGTGCTTTAGAATTGTCTCGTAAGGACCTTTCGTTTGGTATCGCTTTTGTTTCCGTAGCTCCCTTATTTACGGAGTTAGACAGGGGGGGGGGGGGCGAAAAACGCCCCCCGGGCTGCGGTGGTTGGGATTAGCCCCCGGGCCCGGCCGGGTTAAGGAGAACGGCCAGAGCTGGTATGGATTATCTATTGCTCATGGCTAATGGTATTAGAAATGGGCACGACTGCTTTTTCAACAATGCTAGTAAAGCTGTAACGGTAACGGTGAATCGCCCGCTTAGGGTCCTTGTGTTTAGATGTATTCGTTCAAAGTATACGTAGTCTTCAGTTTATTGTTGTTCCATGGGTAGCATCAGGGCACTTAAGAATCGGCAGCATATATTCGCACGAGACTAAGACACATGCCGCTTGAATTGAAAACGATTATGGTGTGAGCTAACGTTGCCGATTCCTGGGATTGAGTTTCCATGTAGGCACGCGATGTCAGTCCATAATTATCCGCGCCGCCAGAGTGTGTCGTTTGTCCCCCGATCCGCAGGTTGGTCTGTGCGCGCTGGCGCAGAGCCTACACTGGTACAGCGAGTCCATGTCGGCTGACTCGTTCATCCCACGCGCCTTCCGGATCGGCATGGCCGAGGAGAAGCAGGAGTTTGTGGAGGACTTCCGTCTGACGGCGTGCGCCAGCCTGTTGGTCTGGTTCAAGGAGCGCTACGAGCTGCACGGCGCCGCAGGAGTCGAGGACGCCGACGGAGAGGTCGGTAACGCACGGAGACTGATCTAGGGGGCAGGCTGGAGTGGATTGGACTGGATCGGACGCTGGGGTTTGTCTTGCATTTATGGGAAATATTTGCAACACTGTAGCACTAATCTATAAAGGGTCAACGCTGTTTTTCATCAATAGTATGTTTACCGTTCCTTTCGTTGAACTTTGCACAGCTGATAACGCATTCTGTTCGTTCTTGTCAGTCCCAACCTCTGATATTCCTCTCAGTCATCCCAGCTCACTGACGCCGCTCCCGACCCTCGCCGTCGCCCAGGTGCCGTACTCGGTGATACCGACGGCGCTGCAGCAGTGTCAGGCGTACATCGCCACCCGCCAGCACGAGGACATCGAACCGAGCGCCTTCAACCGCGCCCTGTGGCCGCACCAGTGGGACAACTTCCTCACCAACGTCTACAAGGTCGTCCACCGCTCCAAGAAACTCGAGAAACATCGGGACGAAAACAGCACCATCGTCAAGGTAACGGCTGATTGTCGTTCGGAATGATAATTTTTTTTTTGCACTGTAAGTCGCCAGCAAATCTCAAGAGTCCTAAACCATCCCCTAAGGCTAGTTGGACCTTTATTGGAGCCGATTATGTCATTATTCACACTCAAGTTACTTCTGTCTTTAGTTAGACGGCTTGGTGTCAAGTAGCATGTACGTTGTGCACTGCTGCTTGGGTATTTCGTCCTTTTTAATCCGTTGCTGTGCATACATGTGCCTTACAGTCCTCCTGTGTCCTTTCTGACAGGTGTTCTACAACCGGATCACGCAGCTGCTGACGGAGCTGGTCAAGTACCGGCCGCAGACGCTGCTGGACGGCTGGCTGAACATCTGGATCGTCAAGCCGGGCTCGTCGTCGCGCGGCCGCGGCATCATCCTGCTCCGTCAGCTAGAGGATATCCTGGCGCTGGTCGACTCGGCCACGCAGCGCGAGGGCAAGTACGTGGTGCAAAAGTACATCGAGCGGCCGATGCTCATCTACAACACCAAGTTTGACATCCGCCAGTGGTTCCTGGTCACCGACTGGAACCCGCTCACCGTCTGGATGTACAAGTGAGTAGCGGAGGTGGACAAGTGACGGATCTGCGGCGAGTCTTGGAGCGGTGGGGCTGAAAGGGAGAGGAGAAGGGATTTGCTGCGCCGTCTGTCGTACTGTTTGTTGAATGGGTGGTGTGGAAGGAAAATGTGCGCTGCCATTGGATTAGACATTTTACAGCCGATTTAAAACATGTTTAGTTCCGCGGTTAATTTTTTCTCACACAAGAGATAGGGACACTGCCTATGACCGTTTACTCAACGAACCTATCTGATCCGTGTTTCAGACAGAGCTACCTGCGGTTCTGCTCGCAGCAGTTTACGTTGGGTGACCTGAAGGAGGCCGTCCACCTCTGTAACAACGCCATCCAGGCGCGCTACAGGAACGGAGAGCGGCACGCCGCGCTGCCCACCGAGAATATGTGGGACTCGAGCACCTTTCAGCAGTTCCTCAAGTAAGACGAGATTATGACACCGAGGCTCCGTCCTCCGGTGCGGGTGCCGCGGCGACTACCGGGTGCACACTGCACATACGCCTTCCTACACCATGGGGTAACAGTGGTGTAATCAATTCCTGGACCACACATCGCTCGGACGGTCTCACTGCTATCTACGCGATGCCGAGAAAATGTTTCAATGCTTATTCGAAATAAATGTGCAATGCGCATTATTTTTGGCGGGAGAGTACCTACAGGACACTCATGGCAGATCGGCAGTTGTATCGACTCGGATCGACTGCTCAGCTGTATCACACCTACATTGTTCACTACTGCTGAGCCACTGTGGTCTGCGTGTGTGCCGCCAGGAGCCGTGAGGCGGGCCACGCCTGGGACCAGATCATCTACCCAGCCATGAAGAGCGCCATCATCTCCCTGTGCCTGGCCTCGCAGACGGAGCTGGAGCCGCGCAAAGGCTGCTTCGAGCTGTTCGGCGCCGACTTTCTGCTCACAGAGGACTACCAGTGAGTGGTGCTGGGAATTCCGACAGATTAGTCTGAATGCTGACGGACGAGGGTGCTGAAGGCAGGGGAAACTGACAGGAGCGGCTCATGATGGGCTAAACGGTGTCCACTGTCCATGAGCAGTCTCGCTCCATATCTTTAGTCATGGATTGCCGCCACTTTGGGTTGCGAATTACCGACTGCTCTGGCTGCTACCGTGGTCTCTGGCTAGCTCTGTGTCCTAGGCTGCCGCTGGTCTATTATCTATTGTGTGTATTGGTGTGTATGTGTGTATGCTCGTGTGCTGATTGAGTCTATGTCCCGGCAGTCCCTGGCTGATCGAGGTCAACTCGTCTCCGGCGATGGGAGCCAGCACCAGCGTCACCGCCTGGCTCTGCGCCATGTGCCTGGAGGACGTCATCAGAGGTCAGTTAGTAACGTCATCAGAGGTCAGACTCGGATGGTAACGCCAGTCTTTGTTACCTATTTAAATGTTCGCCAGTTTTGTGTTCAGTTCCTGTTATATTTGGGGACATAACGCTACATACGACTTTATATCCTCCTCTCCCGTTGTATGGTGGTCTGACGAGTCCCGCTGCCGCCAGTGATCGTGGACCGTCGGAGGGACTCTCACGCGGACGTCGGCGAGTTCGAGTGTATCCTGCAGCAGCCGCCGGTGTCCTCTCCTCGCTACCTGGGCATCGACCTCTCTGTGCACGGGCACCGCGTGAAGCCGTCTCCGGGTGCGACCCCGGCGGCTCCCGCTCCTCCGCCTGCCGCCGCGTCCGACTCCGAGCCGCCGCCGGCGCCCCGTAAGTACGGCGCCGTGCTGGAGCTGAGCGGCGACTCGGTGCCACCGGCGCCGCTCCTCTCGCAGCTGTCACCGCGCGGCTTCGGCCGCTGGCGGCGGGCGGCGCGCGGTGCCCAGGCCGTCCACGACTCGCAGCTGTGCCGGCTGCACGCGGTGCAGCGGCGCCTGCACGGCCGCAGCAGCAGCCACTGCGAGCTGTGTCTGCAGCGGCGCCAGGCCGAGCGGCAGCGGTCGCCGCCGCCGGCCCGCTGCGCCCTGCTGATGCGCCAGAGCGAGGACGAGTTCCGCGCCGAGCTGAGCGTGTCCCGCCTGCTGACGCCGCGGCGCTCCTCGCAGCACCGCGAGCTGGAGGTGCTGCGGCGCCAGCTCACCTCTGCCTGCTGTCCGGGCGCGCCGGCCGCCTCCGGGCCGCGGGTGCGCACCCCGCGCTCGGCGCGCAGCACCCGCGGTCCCCGGCCGCGGCCGGCCGCCGCCGGGGACACCGTGTTCGAGCGACTGTACGCTGACGGACGGCGCAAGTCCCGGCCGCCGCCGCTGGCGCCCGACACACCGCTCACCATACCGAAAATTAAGGTGTTCTGCGCCAAGGACTGAGGGTAGTTCGATGGGGATTGAAAGGACATTAGGTGACATTGTAGGTGCGACTAGTAACGACCGTGACTACGTGCTTTCTGGTCGATCGTCTTATGCTAAGTCGATACTTGCTGAAGACGTATCCGCCATCCACCCATGCTTGTGCAATACCACTGTTTTGGTAGATGCAGTGCTTTATCGTTCGCCTAGTCATATATAAGTCATCCATTTAGCTGCATTTTCAAAACCATAGCTTGATATTATATTTTTACTTGTTACTTGTTATTATGTACTCGTTTGTTGTTACACTTAGCTGCACTGTGCCCCAGCATAGCTTTAGCACATGACGTTGCAGCTGTGGACCTGAACACTGCGTATTATTTTGTCACTGTGATCTCAAGCGGCCGCGTTGCCACCGCTCAATCCGTGGCCCGTGTCATCGATCTCGCTTTATACCGTTGTTTTGCGGTCAAGTTGTTCAGAAGAACGTAGTACCCGCTAGAAATATTGCATTAAGATTTGTCGTGTTACGCGAGGGCCACCGGCCTGCCAACCTTAGCTTTAACTGTGAGGTGGTACTCGACAGTGCCTTGGCCGGTAGCGGCGACTGCCAGTGTCGGTTTCGGTCCAATCTCTAAGACAGAACTGCCGACGTCAGGTCCCTCGCCGGCCAGTAAAGTGTGCTTTGCGTGATTACTGCGTGCTACACTGTGTCGATCGCGATTGCATTGTGAATACGTACCCCAGGGCTCAATCTTATAAACGCCGTGGAATGGATATGGCAGCACTGGCTGAAGTTAAGCTGCAGAAAACGGCTATTAAATGCACGATGGTTTTCACGCATTTCAGTGCATCGTATGTTGACGGTCCAAAGAATCATTTTGTCGACTCGGATTACCGTTTGTTGGCACTGCTATCGCTGTCAATGCTACCAAATGCCGTAAATAGAATAGTACGGCATTTTATAACATTGGGCCCTGGGCCCAGGGGACTCAATGTGTTCTAGCCGTCTCAGTTTGTATCACTTATCTGGGATCAGTCGTGTACAGTTGATGTGTCATCACTCTCAATCTCTGGTAGTATCTGATGTGTCCAGTCCTCTGTTTCCCTCCCTCCCGGTCTGTTCCGAGCTCTTCCCTGCGACTCTGTTCCGCTCCCTGCCTTCCGGTCCTCTAATCCCTCTGTTGTCCCGTCCAGGCCCGCCCGCCTCCAACTCGACGGTGCTGAGTCGCGCCACGGAGGTGCTCACCCGGCTCACCTCGCTGCCGGGAACGACCGCCACCTCCACGGCCACCCAGGTGCGGCGCCGCAGCCGCTCCCAGGCGGCCCCCGCCGGCCTGGCCGCCGCCTCCAGCCCCGCGCCCGCCGCCGCCGCCGCCCCGGCCCGGCGCCAGCGGAGCGTGTCCCAGGCGGCACCGGCCGTCCGCCGCGTGGCGCCCGTCGTGCAGCAGCAGCTGCCGCCGCCGCCGGCCGCTCAGAAGGCGCGTCAGAAACCGCCTGGGAAGAGGGCTGCGGCGGCTGCGCGGCGCCGCTCTCGCACCCAGGTGATTCAGAACTCCGTGCGGCGGCTGTCGGACCCGCGCCGGCCCCGCAGCGGTCAGCAGCAGCAGCGGCCGCCGAGCGCGGCGGCGCCGCCCCCGCCGCCGGCCGCCTGCCCGGTGCCGCGCACCAACCTGGAGTTCTCTGGCCGGCGCCGCGAGCAGGTCAGCCCGCGGGCCACACAGCTGGTCACCTGTGACCGGCTGCACGAGCCGCTGTCGGCGCGGCCCGGCTCGGCGGCGGCACTGGCGGCGCAGCGGCGGCGGAGCGCCGTGACCAGCGTCACCAGTCTGCCGACGGCCGGCGGAGCGGCCCGACAGGGCCCGGGGACGGCGAGTGTGACCAGCCTGCAGGCGCAGCACAGCCCCGGCCAGCAGCCGGGCGAGGAGCCGGCCGCTGTCTCAGCAGCAGCCACCGCGCCCACAGGTGAGTACGAGATAGTCGCCGACGGGTGCATCAGGTGACTCGCAAGGGTCCTAGTCCTAGCTCCTAGTAACTTCAATCGAATGGACGAATGGCTTGATGTCTGTCATGGCTTATCAAATTTTCAATTTAGGAAATATTTGCTTTATGAATCATAAGAGAAGCATGTCTTTTGTCATGAATCAGAGTGCTGCGCGTCGTACACTGCTCTACGATGATTTATCCGACCCCGGTATTGATGCACATCGTGTGCTGTTCACAGAGAGCTGTGATGCCGCGGCGCCGGAGGGCGGCCACCCGGTCACCACCAGTCAGTTCATCAGTACCTCCCTGGACAAGCTGGAGAAGATCCGGCGCGCCTCCGAGGACGCCGTGCGGCGCATCAACTCGTTGTCGATGGCGCCGACCGCGGCCGAGCCCGGCGCGGCCACCGTCGAGGAGGTGCAAATGAAGCAGACCGGAAAGGTCAAGTGGGTGGCGATGCCGACACAGCCGCCTCATCCGCCACCCAGCTTCTCGACTACGGTAGTGGGTAGCGGTGTAGCGTCAGCTGTCGGGACTGCGCCCTCGACACCGCAGGCAGCCGTCACCCCGCAACGCGCGGTATCCCCGGCACCACGGGTCGTCTCCCCAGCACCGAGAGCTGTCTCCCCAGCGCCTCGGGCAGCATTTCCGGCACAGCGAACTGTCTCCCCCGTGCCTCGGACTGTCTCCCCCGTGCCGCGGGCTGCCTCGCCGCGACCGGCCACCCCGGCGCCGCGCAGTGTGTCGCCGGTGCCACGAGCGCGCTCTCCCGTGCAGCGGTTGCCCACTCCGGCGGGCCGGCCGCTCACGCCTGCGCCGCGTGCCGCCGTGTCTCCGCCGCGGGCCGCGTCCCCGGCGGTCAGTCCGCGGCTGACGGCGCCTGCCCTCCGGCCGGGCTCGGACCAGGCTGCGCCCACCGCCGGCGGTGCCCGTCTGCTGCCGGTGCTGAGCCCGCCGCCGCCCGGCCACCCGCCAGCCTTCAACACGCGCATCACCGAACTGAAGACGCTCATCGACCGCGCTATCGAGGAGACCCGCGAGTTCCTGGGCCGCAGCCGGCCGGTGGCGCGCCCCGTGGCGCCGCCGCAGCCGGCGGAGCAGGCGTCCGTGACCGCCTCGCCGCGGCCGTGCCTCTCGCCGACCATCGTGGACATCGCGGTGCGCCGGCCGACCGCCGGCTCGTCGGTCTGGGAGCGCGCCGCCGCCGAGCTGGTGGACGCCCAGCGTCCGGGCTCGGCGCGGAGCGGCCCGCGCCGCGGCTCGCCGGCGGCGGCCATGGCCGTGGCGCGCCCGGAGCAGATGCGCCTCACCGAGCTGGTGGGCCTGCAGGGGCGCCGCTTCCTGCCGCAGCTGGGCCCGCCCGAGCCGCCGCCGCGCCGCTCCCGCTGACGGCCCGCCCGGTACCTACACTGGGCGCCGGCTGAGCTCTGATGGCACACCGGGCTGCAGGCGGACGGCTCAACACCGAGGAAAAGACGACACAAGCTTTATATTTGTCTCCTATCTAGTCACTGATCCGACATGTTCCAGTGCTTTCGGGGCGCGCTCATGATGTTATGATTTGAAGTATTACGCCAGCCTCGACATTGTTTATAAACATTGTCGCGTGTCAACAACCGTGACGATCCAGTCATTGAAACATCACGCAAACTGGCAGCATGAATGTCGTTCTCGAGGTTTATCCTGGTGAACCTACTTCTCACCGAAAGCGAAACACAATCGACGATCGACGCGACTCGACCGACCCCCACTTCCGACCTCACTGCCATGTTATCTCGTCCGGACTCGTGCGTAGGCGGGCTAGAGTTTTCACGTTTCAATAAATTGTATGATGTGAGTCTGCGACTTCACTGGAGCGGGACCATGTGGTACCAAAATCAAAAGGCTCGATGTTCTCGTGAGAAATGCACCTTTGTTGATTTGTGGTTACAAACGGGCACTCGGCCGAGGATAACAAATAAAACAATGGATTTTGATATGGCTATGGTGTATGTAATGGTGTGTTTGAAGTGGGTTGCTGTCCTGGCGACGGAAACTTGCTGCAGGCCAAGGCCATATATAGTGCTGCAGGCAAGCGCAGCAGGTCACTTCAGCGTCGATTCCGGGCGCGTTCCGGTCTCAAATGGGCAGTGGATACTCGTGCACGAGGCTGGATATGTTCAGAAACGGGTATTTCTTCCGTTTTAGCCAGAATAATAGTTACACTTCACAGAAAGCAATGGGAGAGGCGGTGCTTTGTTGGTGCATAGAGCTTATGAAAACCAAACACTTCCGTAAGTCAGTCAGTGAATTAAATCTTCCATGTGAAATATCAATAAACGATCAGGAGCGCAAGATCCGAGGGCAAGTGAAATATGTCATCAAAGTTCCATCTATTTGACCAAGTGTTCTTTTGAAAACGGCATAATTGTATAATCATTTTGGCAAATATTGTCATTTATGTAAAGTTACTTTTACAAAACGCTTTTTATTGCTTACCACTTTTCCGGAAACTAAATGAAGAGCAACCTAAACCGTACGTAGTATTTCGTGTGTAAATCAAGTGCGGGTTCTTCCGCCAGATGTCAGCAGCATGCAGTAGTGTGAGCAGCGATGGCCAAACATGGCGTCCAATGCCAGGGTTCGCGTTGAGGAACGCATTAAGATTAATATCGGTAAGTAGATACATCTGTAGAGAATATGTATTCTACGAATCTAACTTTTACTGTGTGGCTAACTTGGTTCTCAAACGTGCATGGCGAAAATGGGCGGAAGCAAAGTAGGTGTGCGCCGTATTTTGCCGCATTTTGGTGTGATTTTATGAATGAATGCACTGGCGGATCCAGGGGGGGGCCACCGGGGCCATGGCCCCCCCCAAAAGCCTGAAAGGGGGGGCCAACATATCTTTTGGCCCCCCCCAAAACGCTTGAAGAAAAATTAATGTGAGATGGTTGCGTAGTAGATACCTACTAGAATCAGCAGCGTGATTCAATAGCGTAGAGAAAGTCAGGGGTGCGGGAACTACTTTCAGACTGGGGGGGGGGGGCACACCATAATAGAGATAAACCTAGGGTCCCCCCAAATCTAGTTTCTCACCGGTTTTAGGCCACTTATTTTTCATCTCTTGGCTTTTTCAACAAAAAAGAAAACATTTGCAAAAAGGGCGGTATTCCGTCTGGAAGTTGTGGTGGCACCGCCCCCCACTGGTGGATTCAGGGAGGGGGCCACCGGGGCCATGGCCCCCCAAAAGCCTGAAAGTCTTTGGCCTCCCAAAACGCTTGAAGAAAAATTAATGTGAGAAGGTTGCGTAGTAGATACCTAAAAGTTAGAATCACCGGCGTGATTCAATAGCGTAGAGAAACTCAGGGGTGCGGGAACTACTTTCAGACTGGGGGGGCACACCATAACAGAGATCAACCTAGGGTCCCCCCGAATCTAGTTTTCTCACCGGTTTTGGGCCACTTATTTTTCATCCCTTGGCTTTTTTCAACAAAAAAAGAAAACATTTGCAAAAAATGGGGTATTCCGTCTGAAAGTTGTGGGGGCACCGCCCCCACGGCCCCATAGTTTGGGGGGGTGGGCAAGCTGTCCCCACTGCCCCGGTTCCCGCGCCTATGGAGAAACTACCGGGTTTACTAGCTTCCTTCATAAAGTGTCGTCATGTCTTGTCGTCACCCGAGAAGGTCTTATTGCATACATATCGATTGAACTGTCAAGTTATCAAACTTGCTCTGGGAGCCTGACCTGACATGACCCGGCAATTTTTCATTCACGGAATATGCGCAATAATTTTTTTAGGAACACTCACTGAGTTGGCGTTGAAAAGCTTGTTTTGTTTGGTAATTGTACAAGAAGCATATCAGGGACCTTTTTGTCCCTTCCCGTGAAACGGTAAAAGACTTATTTCGGTCAGAGCTCAGGCCAATCTCTAAGGGGTCAGTCGGGTCACTTATTTCTTAAAAGGGTCCTTACGGCATCCAAGGACCAATTCCGGCTTTTGAGTGCACCACATCAGCATTTGATGCTGCGACAGATGGTGAAATATGAATATATGTTACAGGCCGTATGAAAATTGTCCGTTTGCAAACGGCCTGGCCCAGTCAGGGCATATGAAACAGCCTGAAAACACCGGCCGTTTGCAAACCATGACCTGAAATATCAGACCGTTTGAAAACGGCCTAGTTAGTTTCGGCCTAGCGGATCCAGGGTGGCCACGGGGTCATGCCCCCAAGCCTGAAAGGGGGCAACATGTATTTTGGCCCCCAAAAACACTTAAGAAATATGAATGTGAGAAAGTAGCGTAGTAGGTAGAAACTACCGTATCATTAAAAATATGTGAGCTTGAGTGTTGGTCTCGTCTTCACCCAAGAAGTTCTTATTGCATACTCTACCTCTCGATCGACGCGTGAAGTTATCGTGTGAGTTATCATGAATCCGATCGCGACGAAACTTTAGCACCCTCATGTTGACAAAGTCTGAAAATTTCATGACCCTGACCCAAGTGACCTTTGACCTGTGGCCTATTTCTCGAGACTATCCGTGCGTTCGGAGAGCATGGAATATTCACCGTCCCCTGGAATATTCCCCGTGCCGCGTTCGGAGGCGTATCTCTCTGAACGACCAATCTCCGGGAATGTTCCGCGCGCATGGAGTATTCCACGGATTCCACGTGGAATGTGCCTCTCCGAACGCACCATATGTTTGGCCATGTTTGAGGCCATGTTTGGCCGGAATCGCGATTCCGCGTATGTCGGCTCACATTATCCGCTCGTTTACAGTCTTTTCGTGGTTTAAAACGCTCAAACATGTGAAATGATGTTGGTCCTAACCATTGTGGTAGGTGTCAATGTCACCTTAGGGTCAAGTCAGGTCATTGACCTTTGATGACCTCGGTGCACTTTTCCGAGTTTAACATGTTTCTAGGATAGTTTCGTTTAGCTGATTTTGAATTTAGCATTTAGCAACCATTTGAACATTTACGAAGTAGTTCCCGAAGTAGGTCAACCAATGACCAAGGACCTTAAAATCGGGTATCATCGGCTTCCTCTCGTCACTCACAGGCAACACACTCGTTTTTTCCGCGAGCTCTAGCTTGATCAGGGGCCGAACGGCAGAGAGGTTCAACCGACACCTCCCAGCCCGCGAAGGCTGCGCCAAGCACCGACCCGGAGCGGTGGTCGACAAAAGCAATTTGAAGTGTTTTCAAAGTAATATTAAGGCACGGGTTGAGTGGGCTACCATTTCTCTCTCTATTTTTTTTTTTTTTAGTTTAAAAAAAAATATCGTTTCAGGGCTGTGACGAAAAATAAGTGGCCTAAATCCGATGAGAAAACAGGATTTGGGGGTACCCTAGGTTTGGCTCCTTGCACGAGTTGGCCCCCCCCAAAACGCAAGTCTGGATCCGCCAGTGAATGAATGTGTAAATATTTTTTATTTGTCTGTGTTAATGCGCATATTTTCATCATGCTAATACCTTAAGACCTAAAATATCATGTGATTAGGGAGATAATATTAGCATATTTGATTAGACCCCAGACATCTCATTGGCAATTCCCATTCATTCCATTCAACTTTTATGAATGAAACATGTGGAATTTCAATTGTAATTTGCAAAATACCTCCATTAAACATTTTGAAATTAATCATTTTTTATTCAGTGGTTTTAAATGAAGTAAATGAATGGACATGTGTCAATCTGAATGGATGTAATTTAACTTTAAGTGTTCCTCAAGCCTGTATCATTTGTAAATAAAGTTACCGATTATTTTACAAATTGAAATTGCAATGCAAAATACATTGTGTTTGTTTTATTCTGATAGATAAATGTTTCATGAATTAAGAGGTGATCAGCTTTTGCATGTGAAACTTGAAAGTGATTTTATGTTAGTTCAGCTGTGTCTGTTGCCTTAAGTCTCACTACAGAATGTTTTGTAATTTCCATGAAATTGACCTGGAATCCGACAGGAGTATTTGACTGTATGATAGTATAAAATCCTACACTACGTGTGCATTATGTTGTTCAGTGTTTTGCACTCATATTTTTAACACCATTTTCATTTATTTCAGGAGAGGCTAAAAATCTGCCATCTCGTGGCCATGGATCTGTTGGTGGCAGAGATGTGTTTTGCACTGTGAATCTTGACCAAGAGGAAGTGCACAGGACTAACACAGTGGAGAAGACTCTAAAGTAAGTCGTAGCACATCTGTAGCATATCCAACTTCAATTGCTTCCTAGCTGTTGGGGACTTTTCAGCTCATTTATTATGGCTCATTACTGCATTTGTGAATGGGAATGAAATGCATCTTTAGCAATGTAACTTGGGATTAGTGAAGTTTTTAATGATTGATCGAGACAGACCTATTTTTTATGAAGATGGGTTCTAACTGTCTATACTGCTTTGTTGTTGTCAATTAATTTAAGTTAGTACTGAGCTCAGTGACATTCCTAGTAAACTCTTATTTATGTTTGGGTTGATGGTCTAAGTGCACAAGCTATCTACTTAGCATATGCAGTGATACCTACTTGTAAATGCTGTTTGGCAAGCATTGTCTAAATTGTGTAATTTATGGACTGATCTGTAGAAGCATCACTTGATTCATATGAATATGTAAGAAAGTTTTGTGGGACTGAGGGTGGACTCTTACTCTTACCCTACGTGGATTAGCAGTACTAGAAGCTACCAGGAACTGCTAGATGCACTAACTAGACTAGTGTTTTCAGACATTGCCCATTTCAACTTAAATCTATTCAATTTGCAAAGTATTTGATGCCTCAGCAGTCACCATGCATATCCGTTTTTTATATCCATCCTGGCTGATGGGTGCATGACCCTCGCCATTTTACCCCTAATTGAGCTAGAGCTTCAAGGAAAAATGAGTGTGTGTGTGTGCAGCTTTGAGACACAACTGGGAGGAATCTAATTATTAATGTCCTGGGTGTACCAGTGACTGTTTTAGTTAGGCTAAAAAACTCTAAGTAGGGGTGCAGTTTTGAAAAGTAACTGCCAAATTATAATTTTGTGGCATTAGACAATCAATTAAAGATAAAAATGCCCACATTTCCTCAATTGACTCATAATGGTGAAGCCATATGACTTGCCTGAATTCATCTGCCCTTTACGAAATGTCTGAGATGCACTTCCTGTAGGTCTTAGCTCCCTGCATAAGTTTCCAGAGCACTGTGCAGTGGGCACCAGGCATTGAACATAACTCAAAAGTTTTTGCCAAAAAAGCTGTTGGTAACCTGTCTTTTTGTGGTGCCCATGCCCTCAGAAGCATAATTATCACTCTCATTGAAAATGCTCTAACTGGTTTTGGGGGGGGGGGGGGTGTTAGGGTATGTCGAACTCAGAATAAGAGTAAGTGGGCAAAGCAAAGAGGAGAAACTTAAAAGAACTACAAAGAGGGGAAACTGTACGACATCTACCTCGTACTAAAATGGACGGATGAAAAGGCGCGGTTAGTGGCAAGAGACGAAGCGATGCCGATGAATTACATTGCGCTGACCTCTCAGTCACACTGTTGACAATGATTCGATGAATCTGTCTCGGACGTTGCACTCTCATTGTGCGCGTACGATTGGTACCGTTTGGCGTTTCCCGGTGCCTCGAGAGTTCTTAATAGAACAGTTATCTTCGATTGTATAAGGAATGAATATGATGGGTTATGAATGAATGAATGAATAAAAAATGAATATGAAAGAATTAATGAAATACCTGTAAATGCATTGGACCTGTTTCTGTGAGTCACCCGTGGACCAGACACTCGGGAGTGGGGACGAGACTCGGGTGTTTTTATAGTATTGTCGTGAGCAAATGGCTAGACCGAATCAATGAACTGTAGGGAAAGTTAACATCTCCGCTCTAGCTATCCGACGTGGTCTCGCCGATTGGTGTTCTTTGAGCGTTTCCACATGGACAAACGAGATGCCATCTCCTCCTTGTCAACCTCACCACAGAGTCAGTCTCGATGGTGATGCCCTCCTAAACTGTACTCAGCTAATGAGCAGCGTCATACTGACTATTATATGGCCCTGGAGACATACTTAAAGGGACCCTCCCACCTTAACATTAGATTTGAGTTGAGATAGCCAAAATGGGGTCCCTGGCTCACAATTACCGGTTTCGGCACTCACAACATCGAGAAATGCCTTAAATCGGAAATATTGAATTTCAAAATTGCAGCATTTTGATTCAGAGGGGCTAATGCATAGGAATACCCCTCTGAATGTGTGACGTCAGCGCAGATATCTAACGATTTTTAAATGTTTGACTAAATCGTTTTATAGCACGCGGTGGTATATGCTGCTTTGCGCGCAACAAGTGCCGCACTTTGAGCTGCCAAACTATTGCTTCCAAATAAAGTCGCTAGGAACAGCGGAGATCCCAAAACATAAACAAAAGTAAAAGTCTAATATCTTGAAAACCGGTGAATATTTTTCGGTGAAATTTGGTAGATATTCGTTTTCGCTCTTTCTGAACCGAGCGACATCATATTCATGCCAATTCATAAACTTTTTTGAAGGTGGGAGGGTCCCTTTAAAGGGACTATCCCACCTTTAACATGGGGTTTGAGTTGAGATAGCCAAGTTTGCGGCGAGGTTCAGAAACCACTATCTATCTAGGTTGCAACCCCCGCGGCCTCTTGGTGTTGAAGAAATTCGTTCCCTTCATTTGAAAATGGGCCTTGTACAAGGCCCTATCTTCAACATGGAGCGACCGTTAGTGTGACGTCACCTCCTTTAGTCATTCTGATTTAAATGGGTTTGTTCGTTCAAAAATCGCTTAAAACTTGGTCTGAACTTTGTTGTGGTGCCTACAGAGTAAAAAGAATCATCTTTATGACAGTAATGTGGCCTGGAGAAGGAGGTAATTTTGGGCTGTGACGTCACATATTTGAAAGTTTGTGTTTGGAATATGGGAAGCCCAAGATGTTTAATGAAAAATAAATGCCAGAACCGTGTTCCTGATCATCCAATCTATAAAGTCGGGCACAATTTAACTGGTTTTAACAACATTTTAGAAGGTGGGATAGTCCCTTTAACTGACCGAGGCCGTGCGCTGCTTAGGTCGTATGACGTTCCTCTAACCGATTTTCCCGTTTCACAGCCCATTCTTCGGTGATGAGTATAATTTTGATATACCAAGAAAATTCAGATGGCTATCCTTCTACATATACGACCGCGAGCGCAGTGGCAAGCAGGACAAGGTATGGTACTTTTGCTTTTACCTCTGTAATTATTCTGTAGAAGTTCTTTTTTAGTGAAATGTGTTTCATTGATGTGACACAGTAGGCTTGTATGCACTGATTTAGTTGTTTGTTGTTCATAGCGAGTTTATTCGGTTTTGTTGTCCACCAACTGATAATATACCTGGTGTCGCCGTCCAGGTGCTGGGCAAGGTGTCCATCAAGAAGGAGGACCTGCGCAAGTACCAGGGCAAGGACCACTGGTTCGACATCCTGCCGGTGGACTGCGACTCGGAGGTGCAGGGCGAGGTGCACCTGGAGGTGCGGCTCGAGCCCATCCAAAAGTCGGAGGACGCGCCCACGCTCACCCGGCTCAGCGTCCGGTGAGTGGGAAGTGGATGGGGCGCTGATCACCGCCGGAGCTCGGCGCGTCACAGGACGCCGAGTTTTTTTTTTTTGCTTTGTTGGTTTGACGTGCTAAACCAATCGTTCTTCGTATTTCGTCATACGCTTGTTCATGCTCGCATCCATGTTTCTGAATTCCGTGTGACGGCTTCTGTAATCTGTTCTAGAGTGATCGAGTGTAACGGCCTCACCAAGAACAACGGCGCCTGCGACCCGCACGTCAATGTCTCGCTGTGGTGCGAAAATGAAAAGCTGGAGTCGAAGCGCACTAAGAGGAAAAGCAAGACGACGTCTCCCACCTTCAACGAGACCTTCCACTTTGAGGTACCAGTTGCATATGGTGTCATATTATCGCAGTAATTAGTGTAAGAGTCAGTATCGCTTAAACAAGGTACAAGAGTTATGAGTATGTTGTACAACTTTGGTTAACACACAAGAGAACATTGCTGTATTGTTCATAAGGCGCGCTACTTGGTGCGACATCGCCCTCACCACTCGCCTCCCTCTCTGTCGTTCCCGGCCGACTGTCCAGCTGACGTCCGTCCCGTCGCCCGGTTTCCAGATCCCACAGCGGCCCGGCGAGATCACTGCCGACTCGCTGGCGGCGCTGCAGCTGCGAGTCACGGTGTGGCACGACTCGCCGGGTATCTTCGGTAACATCTTCCTGGGGGAGGTGCGCGTTCCGCTGACCGGCGAGGCCGGCCTCAAACTCAACCTCAGTCACGACACCTGGTGAGTGGCCCGTCGGCGTGCCTGCGACGTTTGGTGGTTTGTGTGGTGCTGTCTGTTTCCATAGCAGTGGTGTTTGTTTTACTTGTTACTTTAGTGTCCTAGTCTGGGCTTGCAATTGCTGTGGATAGTTTGTGAACCTCCTGTTTTCCCGTGACCTACCGCGGCTGTGAGACCTGCTGTCCGTGTCCATAACCGTACTGTCCGTGGACTGCCGCTGGTTTTTCTGACCGGACTGTGCCTTGTTCCGCGCCTTCTGACAGTCCGTCCCTCCGCCCGCCAGGTACTTCCTCCAGCCGCGCGAGAACAACCGTGTGATCGCACACGACCTTGGCTCGTTGCGACTGAAACTCAACTACACCTCTGACGAGGTGATAAGCAGCAAGCACTACGACCAGCTGCTGGGCCTGGTGCTCCAGAGCCCCATGGTGAAGGTGAGTAGGCAACTTGCCTGTAAATGTCTAACCTAAAAGACCAATCACAATCGGACGGTTTAAAAATAGTCTTCACACCCTAGTTTTACGAACGCTTCTATCAATGCTTGTTGCCGAACCACCAGCTGAAATCACTAGAAACAGACCCATCTGCTGTTTTCTGATCACCTGAGCTCGTCTCTCCACCTCCCATGGACCGCCCTCTCGACCTCCTGCGACTTGGCCCGTCCCGCCGCGCTGTTCTACTCTGACCCTCCGCCCGCCCTCCGTCGGCAGCCCTCTGACCCTCCGTCCGCCCTCCGTCGGCAGCCCTCTGACCCTCCGTCGGCAGCCCTCTGACCCTCCGCCCGCCCTCTGTCGGCAGCCCTCTGACCCTCCGCCCGTCCTCCTTCGGACAGCCCTCTGACCCTCCGTCCGCCCTCCGTCGACAGCCCTCTGACCCTCCGCCCGCCCTCCGTCGGCACTGCCCTCTGACCCTCCGCCCGCCCTCCGTCGGCAGCCCTCTGACCCTCCGTCGGCAGCCCTCTGACCCTCCGCCCGCCCTCTGTCGGCAGCCCTCTGACCCTCCGCCCGTCCTCCTTCGGACAGCCCTCTGACCCTCCGCCCGCCCTCCGTCGACAGCCCTCTGACCCTCCGTCCGCCCTCCGTCGACAGCCCTCTGACCCTCCGCCCGCCCTCCGTCGGCACTGCCCTCTGACCCTCCGCCCGCCCTCCGTCGGCAGCCCTCTGACCCTCCGTCGGCAGCCCTCTGACCCTCCGCCCGCCCTCCGTCGGCAGCCCTCTGACCCTCCGTCCGCCCTCCGTCGGCAGCCCTCTGACCCTCCGTCGGCAGCCCTCTGACCCTCCGCCCGCCCTCTGTCGGCAGCCCTCTGACCCTCCGCCCGTCCTCCTTCGGACAGCCCTCTGACCCTCCGCCCGCCCTCCGTCGACAGCCCTCTGACCCTCCGTCCGCCCTCCGTCGACAGCCCTCTGACCCTCCGCCCGCCCTCCGTCGGCAACCCTCTGACCCTCCGTCCGCCCTCCGTCGGCAGCCCTCTAACCCTCCGTCGGCAGCCCTCTGACCCTCCGCCCGCCCTCCGTCGGCAGCCCTCTGTCCGCCCTCCGTCGACAGCCCTCTGACCCTCCGTCGGCAGCCCTCTGACCCTCCGTCCGCCCTCCGTCGGCAGCCCTCTGACCCTCCGTCCGCCCTCCGTCGGCAGCCCTCTGACCCTCCGTCCGCCCTCCGTCGGCAGCCCTCTGACCCTCCGTCCGCCCTCCGTCGGCAGCCCTCTGACCCTCCGTCGGCAGCCCTCTGACCCTCCGTCCGCCCTCCGTCGACAGCCGGTGACGTGCAGCGCCGCCTACATTCTGGGCCAGGTAGTCTCCAACAAGCAGGAGGCCGCCGAGCCGCTGGTGCGACTCTTCCTGCACCACGGCAAGATCGTGCCCTTCATCGAGTCACTCTCGGAGCGCGAGATCGCACTGGAGACGTGAGTCATTGGGCTGCGTGGGGCGGTGGGGCGCGTCTTCCCCGGCTTTCGTAGTCTGATAGCTGAGACAGATCAGTGTCCGGATTTCTGACGTTTTGAATCATGTTATATTTTGGTGGCCAACGTCCTATGATTATCAATCATTCTTTCTTGATATTTTGTGCACTTTCTCAAAAAGTTTGAATGAGTGAGAAGTGACCCCACGGCAAAGTAAATTTCATTCATGAACTAAACGTCCTAATTATTTGTTAGTTGCTGGTCAGTACGTTGGTTATTGTGCCGCACCTATTGCCGTTCGGAGTTGTCCAACATTTCACGAGCGTACCCTATGTTAGAACGTTTATCCGTGTGCCGCCGCAGGGACCCGAACACAATATTCCGGGGGAACACGCTGGTCTCCAAGTGTATGGACGAGCTGATGAAGCTCGCCGGCCTCCACTACCTGCACACCGTACTGCGGCCGGTGGTGGAGCGGATCTACCAGGAGCGACGGCCCTGCGAGGTGAGATACGCCAGATACAGATGCACACAGATACAGGTACAGATACAGATACCACGGCCGGTGGTGGAGCGGATCTACCAGGAGCGACGGCCCTGCGAGGTGAGGAAATATGGCAGATACAGATACACACAGATGCATACACTGCGGCCGGGGGCGGAACGTATCTACCAGGAGCGACGGCCCTGCGAGGTGAGATACGCCAGATACAGATACACTCAGATACAGATACACACAGATACATACAGATACAGATACCGCGGCCAGTGGTGGAGCGGATCTACCAGGAGCGACGGCCCTGCGAGGTGAGATATGACAGATACAGATGCAGGTACACTCAGATACAGACTGCGGCCGGTGGTGGAGTGCATCTACCAGGAGCGATGGCCCTGCGAGGTGAGATGATATCACAGATATACACACAGAGATACATACGGATACACACACTGCGGTCGGTCGTGGTGCGTATCTATCAGGAGAGGAGCGTCGGTCCTGCGAGGTGAGATAATATGACAGATACATGTACATACACTCAGATACACATACTGCGGCCAGTGGTGGAGCGCATCTGCGAGGATCGCCGGCCGTGCGAGATACAAATACACACAGATCGCTGGTCATTGGGCTTTTTTTACCGAATTCCCTGGTTTTTATCGGAGCATGTCTGTCGGAATATGACCATTAGTCGGTGCCTACTCTGCGCCCCGCCTACCGACTCTGTTCTGTCACAAGTCGCCCGTGCTGTGTATCGTCCCCCACCGCTGACTGCTGGCCTCCTCGCCGCCCCAGGTGGACCCCGGCAAACTGGGCGACGGTGAGCGGCTGGAGACCAACTTCGCCAACCTGAAGGGCTACATCCAGGAGACGTTCGCGGCCATCAGCAAGTCGGCCTACCAGTGTCCCTCCACCATGTGCCGGGTGTTCGCGGCGCTCAAACGCCAGGCCAGGGTCTTCTTCCCAGGTGAGTGGAGACTGAAATGTAGAGTGAGGTGGTGGAGGAGTTGAGCTGAGAGTTGGAGTCGTTCGGGCTCCAGGGAGCCGTTATGGTGTAGTTGGCTATTGGTTAGATTTGAGTTCAGAAAAGGCAAACTGTTTGTGGGTGTTGTGGATCAAGCTATTTGGTGACGTTTTCTTTTGCAGCTAAATAACATACGGAACGGTGATCCGCTGTTGATAATTTTGTTCGTGGAATTCTTATGAACTCGAGTCGGCCTGGGTGGTTTGATTGCTAGCTAGCATTCCAGTACCTACCGTCGTCTCGAGCGAGACGCCTCAGCCATTTGTGACCCTGTCCCGTTTCCTCCACAGACAACCAGGAGGTGCAGTACTGCGTGCTGTCCGGGTTCGTCTTCCTGCGCTTCTTCGCGCCGGCGCTGCTCAACCCCAAGCTGTTTGATCTGACACAGGAGCAGCTGGTAAGATGGGTGGACTCTGAGGACCGGGGGATGCGGATTGCGACGGGGAAATAGAATAAATATCAAATGCCTAGGATCTACTTTTGTAAGCCTAAAGGGACGTTACGTCGATAATATGGTGCCGGCCTCGCTATTACAGGCCTTGTTACGAAAGGAAGGGGCTGGTCTGACTGGAAATTGACTGACTGGTCTGACGTTGACGATTGGTCCTCAATGTGTGGCCTTTGTGAACGCCTTGCTGCATCCGACCCGTCACTGCGTACTTGATTTCGCCCCTGTATCCCGCCGTCTCATACTGTCTCGCGTGCCGTTGTGCCCGCGTCTGACGCTTCCCCTTCGGCGCCGCGGTTAGGATCCTCAGACGAGCCGCACGCTGAAGCTCATCTCCAAGACGATCAACAGCCTAGGCAGCTGCGTGGGCTCCCGGAGCAGCGTCGTCTCCTGCAAGGAGGAGTACATGATGGCAATCAACAAGGACTTCTTCACCGACAGCTATCTGCAGAAGTTGAGACTGGTCAGTATCACTGGCTGGTGCGCCTGGGCTGGAAGTGACATATTTTTGTTGATGGCTGCGATCGCTCTTAGATCTCAGACAATATTGAATCGAAAACTTTACTAATTGATTGAGTTTTCATGATCAAAATAGGTTTAGATAACTCAGTTAACAAAAGTCGGCTGCATTGAGAATTTTTTTGCAGGCGCATTACAATTTGGTCCGGCGTCGGTAACTTCAAGCTACTTTGATCCACCTCTGAGGCTCAAATTTGTGTTTGGCTGATGTATGTCAGTACAGTGTCATTGTTTCCCTGGCGTGTGACGGTGGGCTGATGGCGTCTGCCGCAGTTTCTGGATGTGATCTCGACCGAGTCTGCGCCCCACCAGGCTCTGGACTCGCCCATCATCCTCAAGGAGGGGTACGTACCGAGGGGCTCCGGTAGTCCGGTACCGCACAGTTGAGACTCGACTGGGCGTTGGTGACGTAATTATAAGGGCTGAATTACAATTTTGGCTTTGGTGCCACCTCATTGAACTGAAAGTCAGCTTAGTCAGACGACCGCCTCGATAGTATGACCGTCCTGTTTCTTGTTGCGTTGCGTTGTTGATGTTTCTTATGGCATCGCAGTTTTATGGGTTGGAATACTTCCGCCGTTGAGATTGAGTTTGTGCCGTTGTCTGGTGAATATGAATATTGAGGGACCGTCCGCTAACACCGCTCCGTATTGTCCAGCTGCTCTCTGGATACGGGTAAGAAAGGCGGGCATGCTGAATTGCGATGTCGTCTCCTACTCCCACCCCAATACACTGCCAACGTTTTGTCGTGACTGACATGCCGCACTCATTGGGTGGTTTACTGCACGGTTGACGACGTTAAGTGATTTCTTCTGTTGTATGCTCTAACGACAAAGCTTATCCATACCTGATGAATGGCACCAGTGATATAGTGTTAGCTCTGACACATTGACGCCCTTTTTGTAATATTTTGCTCTGCTCTGACCCTGTCTTTCCGCGGTTCACAGCCAGCTGGTGAAGCGGGCCATGAGCCGGAGGATCTCCCTGAACATCTTCCGACCAAGCTTTGTGCGGCGTCACTTCTGTCTGACCACGCGAGGCCTCTCCTACTCAGTCAGCAAAGGTACGGAGCACTAATTGTTAACCGATTGTGAGCTGTGATTCTGTGAACGTGTATTGTACTGCAGTTGCAGTGACCGGCGCGGTGGAGGACGTTGAACTACTGCACCAGCCAGGTCCCCCAGCAATACCGTGCGTTTAACGTGAAAATGTGATCTGTATTTCATCCACCGTTTTTACTGATAGCTTTCCCTATCAACAATTGGCATATACATGAAACGAGGTCCTTTTTTACTATGTTCGTTAATAAATAATGCTTGTTGATATGTGTGATTCACTAAGATGTCAGTTTCTAGTCGTCTCCTAGCGCATACCATCGTCACCGGGTGGGGTTTGTAGGTCGCCTGGTAGTGAAGAACCCCCGTGTGTGTGTGTGCCGGCACTGCGGCTGACGGCGGGCTGCCCGTGCCACAGGGGAACGGCCGCGACACGAGATCCCCGTGGACAATATCCGGGGCGTGGAGCCGGTCGACGAGGCCGTCTTCAAGAAGCGCAATATGTTCAGGATCGTACAGCCCGACCGGGATCTCTACATGCAGGTGGGTTTTGTTTGTAGTCATGTGTAATTTTGTCAATACACCTCGACCAGTGCTCGGACGTAGTGGACGTCTCGCACTGTTGGACGTAATTCACCGTACCTCTGCTCAGCATTGAGGTCCCACCTGACGACCCCTCCTGCCCGCCTGTCCTCAGGCTAACAACTGCGTGGAGCAGAAGGAGTGGGTGGACATCCTGTCCAAGGTAGTGTCGCACAACCTGGACAAGACGGAGCAGTACCACCCGGGTCTGTTCCGCGAGGCGGCCGGCTGGACGTGCTGCCGCTCGCCCACGCAGACGGCCATCGGCTGCGCGCCCGTCACCGCCGACAAGCTGCACGCCGACATTAAGCTGGCGACCGACAGCGACCGCGAGATGGAGCGGCTCTACGCCCTGTTCTCGGCGCACCTCGAGCAGCTCCGGCGGCTCCAAGGTGAAGAGCGCCCGCCTGGGCGGCTGAGAAGTGCTGCATACTAGCAGGGCACTTTATCCGCACAGAGACGCAGCGTGACCGAATATGCTGTTGACAGGGCCAAGACATGTACTGATCACGTAATGCCGAGTGGCGTATTGAGCCGTTGTTGTCGTTTTTGTCCTGTGTTGTGTCTTACGGGTTGTGGAATTTTGCGCTGCCGTATTCAGGTTCTGGGGGCATTTAGTACATACCTATGTCTTTTCTCTACCAGTGTTTATAGGGGGTCCAGTGTGTGTTTTTGACCGGTCCGTGTCTAACGGTCTTGTTCGTCCGTCTCCACCCCGCAGAGTCGTTCAGCTACCATCCGGCGTACGCGGGCGACCCCAGCTTCGAGCCCAAGGACACGGTGGTGGGCTACAACACGGTGGCCAGCATCATCTCGGCGGTGAACTCTCTGCAGCAGGAGCACCACGACCACGACCGGAGCCGGGCGCGCGGCATCCGCTACGGCAGCCGGATGGCGCCCATCGGCGACGACAACTACCTGCAGCTGCGGGCGGCGGCCGCCTCCGAGTCCGGGCCGCGCCGCTACCGACCCGTCGGCAGCACGCCCGGCTAGACAGGCCGGCCGCCGCGCCGGCCCGGCAGCGTCCCCTAGTCAGCCGCGCCGCGCCGCCCGCCACCGGCAGCCACTACTGGGCGGGGCCGGCGCCGGCCCTGTCCGCGCCCGCCCGTCCCGTCTGCATTTATTACCGGTGCTCCGTGCGCGGAGTGCCGGGCGGGCGGGCCGCACTGCCAGCAGTACAGGTGCTGGGCGCAGACCGAGTCGCCCCACCCGACCCGACCCGACCCGACGGGCCCGGCGCCGCCCGGCCGTCGGAACTCGACACGCCGCGAGCGAGAAGAAGAGGTACCTCGTATGTTTATGTAGTTGACAACGTTTAGTTACTTTGTAATACTCATTAACTGATGAGAGATGCGCGCAGTTTTGATACGATCTTTGACGTTGTCGCTTGTGTCTGTGTTGTGCTGAGATTGTTGTATTCTGTTGGATGTAGCCCGTTACGACTGCGCCGGCTCGCGAGCGGCGGCGGCGCGCGGAGGCCCGTGCCGTGATCTCAGTCGGAGGAACCGGTCACCGCCGCGCCGCCGCCCAGCCGGCCGCCAGTGCCCAGATCTGCCCCCCCCCCCCCTCATCGCTGCCATATCGTCCGCCGCCCCAGCCGGACCGTTGTAATTGTGTACGTGTCTGCGCGCGACGTCAGGTGCCGGGCCAGTCGGCCGCTGCAGCTGCTACCGCTGGCCATCGTCGTAGTGAAATTAGATTATTTATTGGTTGTTACGGAGAGGCCGGCCGGCCGTCGCTCGGAGTGTGTGGGTCCGCCGGCGCCGCGCCTGGTCCGGTGCCGGCCGGTCTGTGTCTGTGTGTCTGTGGGAGGTGAATGTTGGGCGGGTTTGGCGTCAACAGCCGCCCGCCGGTACTCAGACGTGGGCGGCGGCCGGCCGGCGCGCGGGCCGCCCGCCGTGTGCAACTGTTGCGTCGCTTCTGTCGCCGACTCTGCCCCTAACCCGGTCTGTGCGGCGAGAGCCAGTAACCCGACGGGCGCTCGCCGCACGTCCATCGCCTATTTTAATACATTTGTAACAAATCAGGCCTAATCCCTCGATCAGCGGGCTCACCAGGGCTCGGGCGGAGAAGACAAAGTGTGAAATGGAAAGGAACGTAGAGTGGTAGTTAGTTGATCATCTAATACTGACGGGAAGTACTCCCATAAAATATGGATGGGAATGCGTCGGAGCTGTGATTTCCCAATGGGCCTCCCCATTTGGGTTGGGCGCTTTGCACCTAACGATTACTGACGCCGAACCCGGTAGGGCCTAGAATGTGCGTAAAGCTATGGGATTTGGCCTCTACCAGGTACATGCCATCATCACTGTCATCCCATTGGCCCTAGTAGGGCCATATTTAACCATTCGCCTCATAAACAGTATATTATAAGCCCAGCACAGACACGTTTTAACAGAAGTTCTCCTTCAAAACACAGGTGCTTACATTGACATGTGGGTATCCATACCAGCCAGATATCACTGCCTAGGAAGAAATTCAGTACTTAGAGCACATTTGAAACAATTGGTGTGGAATTCTTTTTGGGTGACAGCACAGGTGTAGGGTGATTATGACTTCACCATCATTGAGTACTGCTGGGTCAGCCTGTCAAACTCATTCTCCTTAGCCTGGTAGTCTTTCATGAAGGGATGGTTGGCATGGGAGTCCTTCAGCTGGCTCAGGTACCTGGCAGCGACCTCTGGAGGCTTGCCTGTGTGCTGGGACAGCACAATGAGGTTGATCAGGGTCTCTGGGTTGTCATTGTCCTTGTCCAGGGCATTCTGCAGCACCGACTCTGCCTCCTCATACTTGGCCATCCCCAGGAAACAGGCTGCCTGGCCATTGAGCAGCAGTGCAGTTGGAACAGACTTGTCAATCAGCTCCTGGAAGATGTAGAAAGCATCCTGCAGCTTCTCTCCACCAACAGTGATGTTGAACCATGCATGGGCAAGCTGAGTCACAGTTGAGTCATCATCCTTCTCCTGCATTGCCTTCAGTTCCTTCTGCGCCAAGTCAACTCTGTCCATCGCCAGGTACATCTGCAGAGTCAAGGCTGAACATTCCAGATCTGAAGCCTGGTGAAGCACCCTTAATGCAGCCTCATGGTTGTTTTCATTGGCGTAAATGGTTGCTCCAACAAGGAACAGAGCCACATTGTTTGGGTCAATATCACCAGAGAATTTCTTGTCCACCTCAGCCACAACTTGATCTCGCTTGGAGGCCGAACCAGAAAGATATTCTGCAAGCAGTTTCAATGCCTGCAGTTCTGGAGCAGAGGCACCATGGATCTCATCTTTGACGATGCTGAATTTCTTCAGCGCAATGTAGGCACGATAGAGGAATATATCCCTGGTAAGGCGTTGTTCTGGAGCACTTACTTTCAGCTTTTGAGCCTCTGTGATGCATTGTTGATAATTTCCCAAATAAAATGCATTCTTCACTTCAAACAGCTCATCGATGTCATTCCCTTGACTACCCATATCCCCAGTTTTTGGAATAAGTGACCACAAAGTACAGCGTTTATAATGCAAGCTATCCAATTGACTATAAACAAAAAATATGTGTTGATAGGATTGGTAGGATGCGTTACTGGCGCAGCTACTACAAGAAATGACGTGTAAAGACAAGAAAGTGACAGCTAAATTGTTACCCTTAAGACCTAGCTTAGAACTTTCTTCTCGGAGGAATTCGATGCTTAACTGTTTTGAGATTTTCATGGATTTCTTTGCTGTTGAATAACCTACCATTGTTTTACTAGGCAAAGATTTCAGAAGCATATTTTACTCTCGCGAGCTTGGTAACCAACCCGAGTCGACAGCAGCACAAGTTGCACCATCATACACATTTCTAATTTTTAAATAAAATATTGTGTTTCCGTTATTTACATAACCCAATTACAAATTTTCAAGCGATTTATGAAAATTTAAGAAAAGTTTTCAAATATAAGTACCAAGTATTTTACATGTATTTTACGCTTTCGCGCTGTTCGCGTCTCTTCCATCTCTATGCACTGGAGACAGAAAGTGTGGGAGAGGGAGAACATGGCGGATGAGTGTGATATAATTGGAATTGGGAGTACTGTGACTTGCAAGAGCTGTTTTGGTGAAGAAATCACAGGAGAAGTTATTGCATTTGAAAGGCAAACCAAGTTTTTGGTTCTCAGTATCCTTTTTAGTTGGGATGAGGTGTGTTTAGCTGCGTTGTTTTTGCCGCGTTTGTCTGGTGCACGTGAAATGCTTATATTCTTTTGAAAAATTCATCTTTCGCAAATAGGCTTATGAGTTAAATGCTGAAATTATGCTTTCTGTCCAGTCTGCTTTGTGGCTTACATTATGCCAATGCCTCATGAATGAAGGTCATTGCTGCATATAAAAACAGTGAACGTATTTCAGCTTATTAAATTGTCAGGTGCCTACCTATTCAAATTGGGAAAATTGTTGTTGCAATTAAGTATGGAAAAACATTTTCATTTGATATGTTTTGAACAATATGCTTAAGAATTTGGGGTAAATGTTGAGATAAAGTTCCCAAGAAGATTACCTACAAGGATAATTTTTTTTTTCATAATCTTATATTATTTGATTTCTTGAATCCCAAAAATGATGCTTACATGTCTTGCAAATTAAAGAAAAAACAAGCAAACCAGACCTAACCTTATCTATTTAGCTACAAACCTACAACCTAACAAGCTACAAACATACAAACCTACAACCTATCCTAACCTAACTTAACCTACAACCTGAAATTTTGGTTGTTTCATATTTCTATAAACAGCACCACAGTTATAGATCGGACCTTATCTTGACAAATACCCAACGGTACCTTCCTAAAAGTGGTGTGGTCTCAATGATAACTTTTGTCATGCCTTCCAGAATTTGTTGCATATTACAAACATCATGATTTTGTCTAGAGCTGTAAAATTATAATTTTTTTAAGTATCAAAAATTATATGTAGGTACCTACCTAACATACTGTCTTTTTTGCACACCAGGAAATGAAACTGGGTAAATCTTGTTCCTGGGTTCAAATTTATTCTGAGCTACATGGAGCAATGGAAAATGGGTCTGCTGTGGGTTGTGTAATGATGGAATGCCTACCTATGCATTGCTTATCTTATCTTCAAAAAACAATAAATGCTCTCATTTCTATTAGGTAGGTATGTACGATAACATGATCATAATGCTTCTTACTATTTCATTTATTCAATAATGAGGATTGACATTCCTTTAAAGGTAGTGTGCCACCTTTGAAAGATTTCCCATTTTATTTTTCCTAGGATAAGAAGCTTCTGTTTTTACCTAATATCGCAAAAAAAAATCAAAAATGGGCCTGGAATAGTGCCTTTTTCGCCTAAAAGTTTATCGGTTTTTAGATATGTATAACAACTGTAGTGGGCTCACCTGCAAACAGGCGTCGGGCAACAATCGCGAATGCGGCGCACTTGTGACAATAAGCAAAGGTCATTATAGTGTTACGACCATACGACGTACGGGAATGAGTTATCAGCTGTCTAATCGTAGACAACACAATGTCGAGCCTTAAACTGTAAGCCCGTATTGGTATTGTTTCTTTTATTTGGCTGTCGAACATTATTTATGGTTTGAAATATGATTTTATGTAAAATAATTGATATGAAAAAGCCGTCTTATAAGTTATGACCCCATTTCACCACACGTAAGTGGCAGAAATGACAATGATCAGCTGACGCATTTTTCTTGGCCGAAGTCAGAGCGCGCGGCCCGACGCACCACGCGTATTTGGAAATTCCGACCTCGACGAGCATCAGAAGCCAACTAACAGGCGTGTTCGAAACCGCAGGAGCTGATGATGAACGGGTTTATCGAAACTTGATTGGATGAGCATATCGGTAATAGCGATTTCAGTGTGTGCATTTATTGTTCATAGTGGTGTGAAATGTGGTTGGGGTACGACCGACAACCCGTCGGGGCGAATTTCGCACTGGGGTACTCAAAATTTGAAGAATTTAAGACGTTTCCATGAGTTTTGAAGGTATGGATAAGTTCTAAAAATCCGGTTCTCCTTATCTGGGCCATTAACTCCATACGGTCCAAGAAAGCTGGCACACTACCTTTAACCCAACTGGAGTCAATAAAAAAGATGATGTTGGGTGCTAAACATTTTTCTGGGAAGCAGAATTTCATGACTTATTACCCACAGAAAAGCTTTTTTATCTTGCCAAATAAATATTACTTACCTCCTCAGTCCTCTGTGATGTCATATTGACTGGGTGCATTTTGGAAATTCAAGCAAGCATTTTTCTAGCTATTAAAGGGACCCTCCCACCTTCAAAAAAATTAATGAACTGGCATGAAAATGATGTCGCTCGGTTCAGAAAGAGCAAAAATGAATATCTACCAAATTTCATCGAAAAATATTCACCGGTTTTCAAGATATTAGACTTTTACTTTTGTTTACTTTTTGAGATCTCCGCTGTTCCTAGCGACTTTATTTGAAAGTGCGGCATTTGTTGCGCGCAAAGTAGCATATACCACCGCGTGCTGCCAAACGTTTTAGTAAAAGATTTAAAAATCGTTAGATCTCCGCTGACGTCACAAATTCTAAGGGGGCATACCAATGCATTAGCCCCTTAGAATCCGAAAACTGCAAGTTTGAAATTCCATATCTCCGAATTAAAGCATTTTTCGATGTTGTGAATGCCCAAACCGGTATTTTCAGGCCATGGCCACCAATTTGGCTATCTCAACTTAAAACTAATGTTAAGGTGGGAGGGTCCCTTTAATTAGCTGCAATTACAAGCTTTTGCCTAAAAGTGGTTAAAGGAAATAGTTCACTTTCACGAAATTATTTTTTTTTGCAACGGATTTATGATTTTTTATGTTCAAAATAATCAGCAAAGAAAATAAAACCTTTTTATAACAAAAGATTATTTTCTTTATTTTGATATAGGAAGAACTTTTCAGTTTCTGTAAGGCACACGCGATCCAGTATGAAAAGAGCATGGGTCCCGAAAATTCTTCAGAAACAGAGAAATTATCGCAGCCACCGGCATTTTAGCGATCTGCTCGATCTGATAATGTTCCCCTGAATGTCCTAATTGATCAGTACGAGAATTTCTCTAGAGTTCTCGTAGATAATTTCTCTACTTTCTGAAGAATTTTCGGGACCCATGCTCTTTTCATACTGGATGGAAATATATGCAAGGCACACATCCTCAACGCAAGACACCTTTTTCGGGACGAGAAATAGAATATCTTTGCCTAGGGTGATCGTTGGGCTGTAAAAGCTCCTGATTTATGCTCGTCTCAGCCCAAGCTACGGAACTGCTATTCCAGTTCAAAACCCATGTTAAAAAGTGAACTATTTCCTTTAAAGCATGAAGTTCCTTACTTTGTTAGGCATCACCTAACTATTAAAAATGCACCACCAGTGTCTTTCTATGTTGCATATCTGTTGTATAAATCCTGGGTTTGAAAGTGAAATGTTATTGCCTGTTATAAGGTTAACAATTGTGCTTCCTTTGATTGTGTTCCATGCTTTTCTTGGCGATGTGAGTGCTGCATGCTTTATTATTCAGGTACCTGTCATGAATTGTGTGGAATAGATTTTTATTAGGTATATTAAATTCAACATAAACAAGTCTCACTTTCTGTTTTTTTTTTTTTTTAAACAAATTTATAACTGATCATGTTACATATGATTCAAAAGAAGCCAACTATTAACATTGTGGTGACATGTGAAGAATGTGTTGGCTATGCTCCTTGACTCAGAGTTCACAGAGCGCCCACCCACCATAGTTCACCCCACACAATGTGACATCACATTCCTGAACCTGAACAAGGTTGAAGACCTGAAAATCATCAGGGAGGTGAACTCGCCGGCAGAAGTGACACTTCAGAAGCTGGACACTAACATGGTGAGGGCTGCAATGATGCTAGAACATGTGATGGTGCTGGAGTTTAACTGGTTAAGTGACTTGATGTTTGGGTGTTTTGTGTCCTTTGACTTTTCAGAAAAGTCACCCTTTGCATTGCTGACAATGTTGTTGCTCTTTCTGTTGTCATTATTCTTGTTAGTTATTAGGATCAGATATCATATTATTTTGGTTTATCCTCACTCAATCTGAAAAGAACTTGATGCAAGGTCTATTTATGGCAGTGAAACTGTTTTGCTAAACATAAGACAGCCTCACTACCTAGCCTAAGCTAAGAGCCACAAGGGACTGACTCAGCCAGTTCCACTCTCTGGGACAGGGACCCTGCGAGAACTCCAGTACTGAGTCCCTGTCTGACCACCTGATTGGCTGACACTGTGCATGGTCTGGCCCGCAGCTCTCGGCCAGGAAGGAGGCTGAACTGGAGAAGAAGCGACGCCTGGTGGCCGCTATCAAGGCCAACGTGTCCGACGAGGGACGCGACCTCTTTGCTCACATCGCCAAAACGTACGTACCGCCACCGCTGCGATTTTTCCCTTCACCCTGCCGTCAGACAAGCTCCATTGCGTTTCCTCAGTGACATTTTTCCAATGCGTAACGCGGGCGCGGGCTGGCGTAAGCTATGGTATTTGTGCTTTCTTCTCTTATTTATGCGCTAGTGACTTTGTTTTATAATGCATACGCCGTGTTCGTCAGTTTACTGCTGTTACGTAATAAGCGTAACTGCTGCCTGCAAACCGTTACTGTGGCATTGGTTGCCCACTTTACCGCTGACCCGCCTTCGACCTCATCCGTTTTCGCTCAGGCTGGAAGAGATCCAGTGGAGTGGCACCGATATCGTCGTCATGAACCAAGTCACCATCCGGGCGCCCTATAAGACGGCCAACATGGACGGTCAGCCCGACAGCCAGGCGTACAAATACGTCTCGAAAATCGTGAGTGGCCCGATTTGTCACCGTCGTGGTACGGCGCTGTGTGGACTAGATTCTTTGCTCGCCGGAGTTTATAGTTAAGCTCTTATTTCCATGTTTCTTGTGGTCGTTTGTTGCTCAGCGCCAGTTCGGTAGATGTGCCGTTTATGTGGAGGCACCCAAACAAGGTCAAGCTTGGTTGATAACATGTAAAGCTTAGATGCTTCACGTTTCCTAATTTTATCAGCTCTGCATGCTACTTTGTCTTTGATTTTTTTTAGGTATCGTTATATTGGAATGGAGTTTTTTTCGAGTGCCGTTCCTTGACGGCTCTAACTATGATTGCTTCCATTCTAGCCCTGTCGCTGTGGTGTCGTCGCATCGCATCTGCCCTTGTGATACCGTAACGCCCCTTCCCCCTGTGCCGCCGCCCCGCCCCGTCCTTGTGTCGCCGCATCTCCCCTTCTGATACCGTAACGCCCCTTCCCCTGTGCCGCCGCCCCGCCCCGTCCTCGTGGTGTTCTCATAAGCGCTGATGGCCTGTAGTGCTTGTGCCCTTTGAAACAAATCGTCATCATTTTTGTCATCCGCCCCGTGTGACGCATTCAGGTCTCGCCCGGCCTCTTGTCACTGCGGCACTGCTACTCTGTCCGGTCCGTGGGACATTGTATCGCCCCATGTTACAGCGTAGCGCCCCGTGCGAGACCCTTTCCATCCTGCCTGCCCGGTCTCATTAGGTCATTGTGTGACACGTACCGCCGGTGTCACACGTTGCCCTCTGTGACACCATACCATACCACCCCGTGTGTGAGTGGTGACACCCGCCTCCCGCCCTGCCGTCAGGTGGAGAAGTTCAACACGGAGCGGAGTGCGGCGACCTCACCGGGCGGCCAGTAGCCCGCCCGTCCGCCCGTCCGCGGCGTGTACCAGTGCATTATTTATGAACGGCTGCGGAGGAGCGCGGGTGACTGCTCGGCGAGGAAGGCTCCGCCGCGCGCCGCGCGCGACTCGGACGTCCGCCAGTGAGAGTGGAGCGCCGCGCGCCCCGGCCCGGCGGCACCGCGGGTGACTGGCTGAACCCAGACTGCGGCTCGCCACCAGCGCCGGCGCGCGGCTCGTTTGTATTATTTTCTATATGCGGTCGGTGTGTGCGTGTGGGGCCGGTGGGCAGTGCCCGCCCCTGCTGCGGCGGCATTTAGTATACAGAGCGGACGCCCTCGCCCCGTTGGCGGGGACGTCCGCTTAGGAGGCCTAGGTCCGCCCGGCAGGTTGGCCCGCGGCTGCGTGCGACGACAGGGATCACAGTCAGACGCGGACAGACTGACGCACAGACGTCGACCGACTTTCAGACACTGACACTGGACACATTGGGCGGGGTGGGCGACACTTTTGTACCGTCTATGTGGCGTCTGACGGAGTGGTCCGTCGTAGAGTGTATGTATGTGTGTATGGGAGCGGCGGACAGAGTGATTGGGCGAGTGGGAGCGCGTGTCAGAGTGTGGGAGGGCGCACTCCCAGCGGCGGAGAATACACTTCCTGCGCTGACCGTGGATTGACCGTGGAAGGGAGTGTCGCACGGCGGATATTACAACTTACAACGTACGGCGCAGTTACAACTTACAATGTTTGAAGGATAGAGATACATACAATAGAACATCCTAAGATAGTAGCGATTTTGAACCCTTAAAAACAACACGCAATCCACCCAGAAATATCATCATTTTTCAGTTCTGGTATGTTTGGCAGATTTAAAAAGTAAGAGGCAGCATTAAAAAAGTAACTCTTGGCCCCGGACGTCAGCACTCTAGTCACACTCCAATATTGTAAAAACAAGCGGTCAGGTATATTCAGCGGTCTAGGCGGAGCCTAAGGCGTGCTCAGCTGTAATTGCTAAACAACGCGGCGAACAAAAAAAAAAACGTCAATACAAATAAATGGTTATAGGTCATCCCTGGCAGGCGGTGTCCCCCCTCCCCTCCCTCCCTCCCTCCCTCAAACCCAGCATCTAGATTCCAACACATTTCTACTGCCTCTGCTACAAACGTGGCCGCCGTCAGCAACCACGGCCGGCTGATGGCTGTGTACCGAGTGGCCATTCCCCGGCAGTGATGGCTGTTGCGGCGGTCCAAAACCCCACCGTAAACACTCAGTTCATATAGAGTTCCATCCCAGCTGGGGCGACAGACATTGGTACCCGAATGGATGGGGCGGCGCTCAGTCCTTCTTGAAGGTGACCTCCTCCGGCAGGAAGGCCATCGGCTCAGTCCTTTTTGAAGGTGACCTCCTCCGGCAGGAAGGCCATCGGCTCAGTCCTTCTTGAAGGTGACCTCCTCCGGCAGGAAGGCCATCGGCTCAGTCCTTCTTGAAGGTGACCTCCTCCGGCAGGAAGGCCATCGGCTCAGTCCTTCTTGAAGGTGACCTCCTCCGGCAGGAAGGCCATCGGCTCAGTCCTTCTTGAAGGTGACCTCCTCCGGCAGGAAGGCCATCGGCTCAGTCCTTCTTGAAGGTGACCTCCTCCGGCAGGAAGGCCATCGGCTCAGTCCTTTTTGAAGGTGACCTCCTCCGGCAGGAAGGCCATCGGCTCAGTCCTTTTTGAAGGTGACCTCCTCCGGCAGGAAGGCCATCGGCTCAGTCCTTCTTGAAGGTGACCTCCTCCGGCAGGAAGGCCATCGGCAGCAGGTCCCTCATGTTGGTGCGGGAGATGTCGCCGTTGGGTTTGGCCAGGATCACTGGCATTTCGGCGTTGAACTCGGCGAGAACCTGTGATAAATGGAAAGGTCCGCTGTGTGGGAGAGGAATAACTGACTCGATACAGATTCGAGTCCGTCTCACCTGCCTGCCAGCTCAACTTGGAGGACATGGACAGTGGACTCCATGCGATAGATATCAAGCAGCCACAGGGAACGAGACGAAAGGCCACTTACCAACGTGATGAACAGACCCAGGATTACTTCACTAATATAACAGTCTGGTCATATAGCTGCAGCGTGCAGACACTGTCCGATAAATCACTACCCTCCCCACTCGGTCCCCAAAGCATTCCGAGAGCAAATCACCGGATGGGGATTTGGGGGACCCCCCCCCCCCCACACACACAACCATTTGCCCATATTCGCACCTGTCTACAGGCGCCGCACGGTCCGACGAACTTGTCGCCCATCTCGGCGGCGATGGCGACGGCGGAGAACTGGCGCTGGCCCTCTGACACGGCCTTGTAGACGGCCGTCCGCTCCGCGCAGTTGGTCAGCCCGAACGAAGCGTTCTCCACGTTGCAGCCGGTGACGATGCGGCCGTCGGCGCAGAGCAGCGCGGCACCCACCGGGAACTGGCTGTACGGACTGTACGAGTGGCTGCGGGCCGCCAGACTGGCGTCCACCAGGCGGCGAACGGTGCCCTCTGCAGCGGCACAGAGGGACAGCGCACGGGCAGACGTCAGAACACCGCACAACAGTGACGGTTCGAGCAAAGACGTTTTTGATATGACGGGGAGTGACAAATGGCCCACGCTTGGAGCGTGGTTGGCCGAATGCCGGCAACGGATGGAAGTGATGAGTTAAGAGTTATGACAGTAGAGCGTTCGATATTTTCCTTGTTACATGTCTGGGGTTTTCAGCCTGGAAGATTGACTGATAATGGCACTGCCTATTATAAAAAAGGGATGTGGTCCATTCACATCGTTCAATTAATAACCATATTATCGACATGATAAAATAAGCTAGTTAGATTAAGTAGACCCAGTACAATAAACTACAGTGGTCTGGCATTGTCCATTCCTCCTGTCCTCATCAGTCACCCGTGGTCACCCGTATGGCGTCTCATATCGCGTGACTATCAAATAAAAAATAAACTTCTCTTGGTCAGCCAGAGTTGTCAAATGTTCTATACTCACTGTGGTTTAAGTGCAGTATCGCGTTCAATGATAATATTTATAACTGAAGACATGCTGCATAATTATAAAAAACACGCTGTGATATCATGCCCCACCCTCAACTCTATCACTGCTACCCTATCAGCGTCAATGTGCGCCTCTTGGCGATACCACCATCCGCTTCCGTCACCAGAGCGAGCTGGGCGGTCGGGGTCTCACCGTCCATGACTGGCCGTGGTCGGCGGGATCCGCGAGTGCCGGCGCCCTGGGTCGCTGATCGGCGCGGCGGCGAGGGTGGCGCCGAGTAGTCGGACAACTCGACGTCCTGGTGGTCGGCCGCCGAGGGCGAGAAGTCCCCCCGGTCCTCCGACTCCGCCACCCGAGACTCCTCCTGGGAGGACCTGGGGAACACAGAGAAATAACTCAGTACGGGGAAGGGTGCTTAGTGAGGTGTGCTTCCTGCACGGATATTCCTGAGACGAACTACCACAGTAGAAGCAATAAAAACAAAAGATCAACACAATATCCAGAAAAGGGATCAGGTACTTCACGCATCATACAAACGTTTTTCATAGATATCTCGTAGCCTACTAAATAAACACAGTCGACGGAATGTATCAGCCTCCATATGAGCTTCGTAAGCAGCTGAGGGCCGATAAACACACAGTCAATTTACAACGCGGCTAGTCCAGTCTGTCTGGTCTCGTCTAGTTCAATGCTCGTATTCAGTCGCTAGTAACAGGCGCCCTGGCTCAGTCTCTCCCCCCCCCCAGTCGTCGACCGGTCGCCCCCACTCGGTCGCCTGTCGGTTACCGGTCGCCACCCCGCCGCCGTCGATCGGTTACCGGTCGGCTACCGGTCGGTTACCCCCCCCCCCGGACGCCGCCGGTCGTTGGTCAGTTACCGGTCGCCGCCGGCCCACACGCTGAACGGCGAGTACTCCTGGGTGACCTCCTGGTCGCGGGACAGGCGCCTCAGGCGAATCGTGTAACTACTCAGCTGCTTCACAGTGTATTCAGTGTGGCCGAGCTTCTGAAGGCGGGAGTCGATCTCGGGGACGTTCGTAATGCCTGCCTGAAACAGCCGCTGCACCTCCTGTGTGGTACAGAAAAAATCGCCTCAGATTTATTTTCAAAATTGAGGCCTGGCCTCTGCATCCTTGCTTGACCAAATCACACAAAACGAGTATAATTGGGAATAACCTAGTATCCTTCAATGCTTTATAGGGTAAATCCATCAAATCAAATAATCTTAATAACATTTTTAACTTAAGGTACAATCATTAGCATGTCTTGTTCAACCATTGCCTGGTCATACCTCTTTGACCTTGTCAGGCAGGCCCCAGCCAGAGTGGGGTTTTGTGCCATGGCTGTGCGTTTCCCCATTGTATGAGACGATGACATCCTCTGAGCTGTCAATAAACAAAACCTCCAGCTGCACTGGGCATCCAACGCCTGAACAGCTGTAGAAATCCGTAAATCCCCGCCCAGTAATTCTTGACCTCTTCTTGCGGTACTTCCTGCCTGCGGCCGCTGAAAATGGTCCAGAAATATGCATTGTATCATGTATACCAATATCAGCAGCACCATACATTATATCATAATAGGCACCAAGCTCACAGGAATAATACCGACTGTGATAAAGATATGTGACATCAATGATCAGGGCATACAATTAAGACATTAAAAATCAAATTGAAGTTTCTTTTAGTCTAGTCATTCAGCAAATCATTGAAAAAATTCAAAATTCATAAAAAGTGAATAAAATCAATGAGTCTGACACAACAGGAAGACTAATAAGCTGCTTAATTCATCAAGCTTACCCTGTTTTGTTAACCACTGCTGAAAGGCCTTTGCTGAAGGAAGTTTTTCCAGGCGCTCCCATACTATTGTCTTGCGCTTGTTTTTATTACATTCTGCACTTTTTTTCATTGCAGTTGGCTTGACCAGAGTGTTTCTTGTTGTGGTTTCCTGATCAGCTGAAGATGAAGGAGCTTCAACCACCACTATGACTTGACCCACCTCAGGCTCAGGTACACTCATGATAACTACCCTTTGATTGAATTGATCGAATTAATTAAATCTTCCTCAGTCAGCCTTGCCTGTAAATAGAAACTGTCCACAGTTCAGGGGAAGTAGATAGGTACTTTGGCTATATTTGAATCGTCAAAAATTTTAACGTGATATTGATATCATTAATCAATATGCAGAGTGAGCTAACGAAAAAAAAAATTATTTCCTCTAAATATCTTGACCTATGCAAACCAATCTTGATCTCCCACGGCAGCCTAACCAAGATACCAAGGTATATAAAAACTCTGCAAGATACCTATACCTATGCAAGATACCTATAAGAAACAGGTAGGTCGGATGTTGGTCGGATGTTTTGAGTAAAGCCCAGGTGACGTCACTGACATTTCTTATATGGAGAATTTCGCCCATAACGAAAATATTTTACATACGAAAATTTGTATTTCATTAGGAAAAAATACATTCTTTCAATTTCATCATGAAACTTATATAATTTAATTAAAAAACTTGAAATCCTTTGAGTGCTTGTCCCAACCCCTGCTATACCTTTGGTCACGTGACTGCCATGATAAACTTTGCGTTTTGCAATGTCATGACTTAAACAGAAGCAATAAATGTTACAAGCGTATTATTTATGATGTTTTAGGCAGCAATCGTGTAATAACATCCTTGAATTATATACATTTTGCTTAAAAGAGGTCACGTGATGTTTTTTTTTTTTCCACGTTTATTTCGTTCATGTATAGGCATGCGCAATAAATACGTACAACTTATTCATGTACCATCCTGTCATTCATGTAATAGGCATGCGTATTACATACACATAATTCACTGATGTGTCTTCTTGTCACTCATGTACTGTGCTAGTGTAGGCATTGCGCATTACACACACATAATTCATTCATGTATCATCCTGTCACTCATGTACAGTGCTAGCGCAACAAAGGTTCAAACATATGGTGGTAGCACCGAGGGATCCCGTCCCGCCCCGCATCGCCCCGCGCATTACACGCCTATCCGACGCCGATGGGGCGATGCCCCAGGCCGCCGGCCGGGCCCGCGACCCGTCACCGTGATAGGGTGGCGAGCCGCGCGCCCGGCCGGCCGGCCGACCCTTTATAGAGCCGGCCTCCGGTTAGCCGGGTTGGGTTAGGGGCGGGCGGGCTCGTCATACAAGACAGGCGTTTCTCATTGAGTGAACGTGTGAGAGTATGTGTATGGGTGTGATTGTAGGTGTGTGGGTGTGTGTGAGTGTGTGTGGGTGTATGTGGGTGTGGGTGGGGGTGTGTCTGTGTGTGTGTGTGTGTGTGTGTGGGTGTGAGTGTGCGTGCTTGCTTGCCAAGAATATATGTATTGCGCAGTTCCATCCATGTGCAGGGCTTATTTGCGGCTGTGTGTATCGTGGTCTGACACCCGGAGCGGCGCAGGCCCACCCACCACCCTCCGTGACAAATATCACCATGTCTTCAGGTACACTGAAAGAAAAGTACACCTTGGTGGTATTTTTGGGTGATATTTGTAACCACTTTACACCACTTTCTAGACTAATTGTACCACCTTTAACCGAAAATTCAGAGTAAAAAGATGACTAGGTGCATTTTTACTCAACTTAGGTGTAATTTATACAGTACTTTAGGCTTTTCTTGCAACTATGGTGTAATTTCATGTTCTTATGTTTTTACACCTCAGCCTTTTGGTAGTAAAATTATTACCCAAGGGTAGTTTGAATCTCATGCGGATAATAAATGGCTAGTTGGTAGCATAAATTTACACTAGCGTGGCTCAGCTGATTACCGCAAAACCTAAATGGAGTAAATTTACACCGTGGGCTTGATGAGCGATGGATTGTTAGGTGTGGTTTTATGCTACATGGTTATTTCACTCTTCAAGGATATATTTTTACAGCTTGGAGCGTTATTTTACAACAGTGTTCCACGTGGCCATTTTAACCGCCATTTTGAATCGCCATTTGCATGGTGAACTGTGAAGCGTGGGGTGGCGTGGATGAAGCGCGGCAGTTCCCTATACACCGTGCATACTGCATATATCGTGAAGCGAGGCCTCCGGTGCGGCGAAGCATGCAGTGTCTGCTAGACGACCAAAACTGCGGCAAGCAGTGAACAACAAAGGTAAGGCTTTAAATGTATCTTTTGGCTAGGTATAGGCAAGGTGAAGGATGTTGCCGCATTGGTTATGATGCGCACATATGCAAGATCCCATTCAGTCTGCGTGAAGACCATGACCGATTTGAAGCTGCATCACAATTGTCAATCATTAACCCGCGCCCCGTAGGGCTATCAGCGAACCCTGCCACCCGTAGCCCCCCCCCCCCCCTAAGATCTCGGAAAGTCACCGGCCGATTTTCAAAATTCAAACGGTGTTCGAAAGCCCCACCAAGGAAGTACCTTGTGACTTAATTTCATTGACCTCGGTCCAACCGATGACGTCACAGGTCAGGTCAAATGTCGCATTTTTACCACTTACAGGCATTCCAAGAAATGTATTGTAAAATAGAGTAAAAGGCATGTTATTAAAAATCATGGATGGATAATTGTCTGTCGAACACATTTTGCTATTAGAGGTCACTGATACTAGGTCAGGTCATAGAGGTCAGGTCACTGAGGGCCACGATATGAAAGTGTCGTTTGATACATGTTTCATGGTCCATTTTACATGACAAATGTGATTGTGTGGATTAGGCAACCTTTGGGGCCATTTTAGGTTATGTTCTGGGAAAGGTCAGGTCAAGGTCAGGTCAAATTAGGTCAAGTTTCAAAGTTGATATTTTGCATAAAATGAGTAATGATTCGATGCAACTCGTCACGGGGAGTCTAATGGTGGTCTTTGTATTGAGCTACGTGATCTAGAATTACTAAAAATTGAGTTTGAAAATATGACCTCATCAATTTTGAAGTTTTCTCTCTACAACTTGGCCAAAAAAGAGGTATCGATCTCAAATTTGGTGTGTGGATGGAAGATAGTAGGGACTATCATACAAATTCCGTTTTTTCAATCCGGAAATTTTTTGGGATTTTTTGTTATTATATCCAAAAAATAACTTTTTGGATTTTGGGGGTCAAAAACCAAAAGTTACGAAAATCTGAGATGACAGATTGATAGCCCTGGTAATTCTATACCTTCTATGCATTAAACATTTTTCTGTATCTTCAAAGCTGTAGGCCTGACAGCTCTTCCGGCGATTTTTTTTTGTTTTTTTTTGTCGAAAATGACAGAAAATGACGTCATTCTGACGTCATTTGTGGCCAACCTATCGTAGCCTTTGAAAAAATGATCACAATGTGTAAAATTGATGTTCGGAGGGGTTCTGAAAGTTTGATGACGATATCTGCAGTCGTTTAGGAGATATTCACGGAAAAAGACAGGGAGGGGCCGTTTCGCCCCCACCCCCATCCCCCTCCTACGGGGCGCGGGTTAATAAAAATTATGCAAGACTAGGTACAGGCACGTAGTCAGGATTTTGCTCAGGTTGGGCCACAGGTCGCGGCCTGGTGTCGTACCTATACCCCCTCCAAAAAAGGAAAACTTCGGATTTCGCCCACTATTTTCGGGGTGTGTGGTGCAGCTGATTTTTTTTTACTTTATTTCATTTTATGTTTGGCCATCAGGGGGACCATGGTCCCTGTGACCCCCCCCCCTTGGCTAAGTCCCTGACTAGGTAAGGTGTTTTAAGGTTTTCAATATTTTCATTAACAGTCATACTTCTTATCGATTCAAGCGGGAACATTTTTTTCTGGTATTTATTATTATTCCATCATTGACTGCATTGTGCCTAAAAGGCTATAGGGGTATTACCTACTATATCAGACGTCCAACATGCTAACATGCGTCTAGCACGTCTAACAATATTTGTTTTCCTTCCATTTCAGTCGTGGCACGACCTGACCCCTGATTATGGGGACTAGTGAGGAGCCAAATGAGTTAAAGGAAAGAGTCGTCAAGAACATCCAGCAAGTGTGTGAGTAGCGTGGGGGGAACGGTGGTTGCGGGGTCATTGGTTACTTTATATATGTCCCTCTTAGTCTTCACAGACCAGCTACAAGCGTTGGCATTTTGGCCTCTCTCTGATCCCGGCGAAATTAGCACACTATATTCATTCATGACTTAAAGATGCGTAATTATAATTAAACTTTACCTGATTTGTCATTTTGATTCTATCCGTATACACATGTCTGATGTATCTTTACTCAACAGTAAAAGTAAATCTACGTATTGCATCCTGAACCGGTGAATACATGCAGTCAATTTATATCTCAGCTGCACCACGGGAGGGCAGCGAGCCGCGCTCCTGACGGGTCCCAAGGGGCTGAGGCTTCAACGGTAGTAAGTAACCCCACACAGATTTTTATCCTCCGGGCTCCGCTTTGTCGGGAAATCTATCACTGCTAGTTACCTACTTTATTTCCCTCCTCACAGGTGACGAACTGGTGGCGCTACTCGCCTACGGACGCTGGGCGATCTCAAGAACGAGCAGAGCTCCGTGAGTGTTCACTTCTTCAGTCGTCCCGCCTCAGCGTTCAGGGAGCACTGGGCCACTTTAAGCTGTCAAAGTCAAAGGTCGGTGAAGTTGCCACAATCCTTGCAGCCCATGCCCCCATGTTTTGTCTTCCGTTCCGTGGACCATGCAAGCATATGTGTACCTATTCGAGGTGCTCTACAAGAAAGCCCTATAGTTCGTTTTTCTTAAGTTCGACCCTCACTGTAAACATCTGTTTGAACACAGCACGAGAATTGCTAGCTGAACTACTTAGAAAACTGGTTAGCGCACATTGAATTAGAGGTATGAATAATATTTTCAAAATAGGTTGTGAACACTGATGATGTACCGTTATGTTAAGGGGACCCTCCCTTCCCACCTTCAAAAGAAATTATGAATTGGCATGAAAGTGATGTCGCTCGGTTCAGAAAGAGCGAAAATGAATATCTACTAAATTTCACTGAAAAATATTCACCGGTTTTCAAGATATTCGACTTTTACTTTTGTTTACTTTTTGGGATCTCCGCTGTTCCTAGCCAAGATTCCTTTACTACTCAGGTTGGTTCACTAGGGAAATAAAGGCGCCGTGGTAACGTAATCAGAGGAAATCCTTCATATTCAAATGAATGGGTCATTTGAATTGCTAATTTTTGCTCGATATAGTCCTACTTTTTTAGTTTCAGTCCCATTTATCGTAATGAGGCGAATTCATTGTTACATTGGTACATCTTTTGATGACATATAAGCCTTGATTTTATCTCCAGCTCGCCCGAAAGATGATGAAATTTGCATGCATGCCTATGGGTGAAGGGAGATTCTGCCGCCGTGGTGACGTCACGGTAAAGGGATTCTGGAGCTCGTGAACGGGGGCTGGTTCCTAGCGACTTTATTTGGAAGCAATAGTTTGGCAGCTGAAAGTGCGGCACTTGTTGCGCGCAAAGCAGCATATACCACCGCGTGCTACAAAACGTTTTAATCAAACATTTAAAAATCGTTAGATATCTGCGCTGACGTCACACATTCAGAGGGGTATTCCTATGCATTAGCCCCTCTGAATCAAAATGCTGCAATTTTGAAATTCAATATTTCCGATTTCAGGCATTTCTCGATGTTGTGAGTGCCGAAACCGGTAGTTGTGAGCCAGAGACCCCATTTTGGCTATCTCAACTCAAATCTAATGTTAAGGTGGGAGGGTCCCTTTAAGCGCCGCAGGATTTATCAATTAGTTAAGTTATAATTCCTGAGAAGTCGTCCATCTTTGTGTGGTTGTAAACATGGGCAAATACGAGCTACAAGTCTGGGAAGTAGGAGCCAGATATAAATAATTTTGATACAGTTGATCACCTGTGAAATCAATGTGCGCCAACCAGTTTTCTCAGTAATCCAGCCAGCAATTTTCGTGCTGTGTTCAAAGAGACGTTTACAGTGAGGGTCGAACTTAAGAAAAACGAACTATAATTATCATCAATATTTCACTAAGTAAAGCATCGCAGAAAATAGTGTGCTCCCTGGCTGAGTAGAGTGCAAGATGCGCGTGCGAGTATACTGGCAATTGCGGTACGCCACCCTAAATGTCATGCCGGAACTCGGAAGCTCAGATTTATCACTGACCCACACACGAAGAGTGTATACTGCGTAGTCTGCGTGCGTTTCATGTTTCAAAGTTTTTCATGTTCAAGGGCCAAGAGTACAAAGTACAGGGTGGCGCACGCAAAACACCCGATTTGAGGCTTTAATGACTTCCATCATTCTTAACCGAATTAGATACTATTTTCACACAGCGTAGATACACAATTGGAATGATATTCATCCAAGTCTTAGACAAATGCATTCACGTTCAGCTCAGTTGTTCACCTCGACGTGACCCCTATCGTTTTCATCACTTTCTCGAGGCGCTCGCGGTACGCAAACGCTGCTTTCTTGCGCATTTCGACGGTGATCTTTGCAAAGGCGGCTCTGATCCGACCTTTCAACACCGGAAGGTTCGCCGGCCGCGTTACGTACCTATACCTTCGACTTCACAAGCCCCCACGTGAAAAAAATTCACACGCGTGGTGAGGTCGGGCGAGTGCGATGGTCAGGGCACTTTAGGCGAAGCCCAACCTCACCACGTGTGAATTTTTCATGTTGTGGTTTGTGAAGTCGTAGGTATACGTAACGCGGCCGGCGAACATTCCGGAGTTCCAAGGTCGGCTCCGAGCCGCCTTTGCAGAGATCACCGTCGAGATGCGCTAGAAAGCAGCGCTGGCGTACCGCGAGCGCCTCGATAAAGCGATGAAAAACGGTAGGAGGCACGTCGAGGTGCAACACTGAGCTGAACGTGAACGTATTTGCATAAAGCTTGGAAGAATATAATCCCAAATGTGTATCTAACTACATTGTGTTAACCCGCGCCCCACTGGGAGGGGGGGGCTATTTATAGCCCCCCTCTCGTTTTTCTGCAATATCTTCAAAACCGCTGGACGTGTCAACACGAAACTTTCAGGACCTTTGCCTGCATCGATTTGACACCTTGTGTCCGAATAAAAACTTTCTAGCTACCATAGGTCGGCCGCAAATGACGTCAGAGTGACGTCATGTCCGTCCGGTTTTGATGCAAAACATTGAACTACGGCAATCGCTTTCAAGAGCTCAGTTTTTAAGATAGATCCGATTTCTTTGCATAGAATGACTCAAAACACATTGGACTATCAAACTGCTATCTCTGATTTTTAAAATTTCGATAATTTTGAAAATTATACATATGAACTATCAAAAATTTTAGATTGGTAATTTTTAAGACAGTTTTTGCTTTTTCGGAAAAACCGATACATTTGTGATAAAACACATACCAGTGACCTACTCTAGGACGTTTTAGCCCGATATCCTACAAAATAGCCAAGTTATATGCTTTATAGTAAAAATATCCGTCATTATCAAATTTTCAAATCAATTTTTAGCACGTTTTTGACATCGTACACCAAAATAAATAGCACCATCGTGTTTCTGAGCTCAAACTGCATCTGATAGATACCTTTTCTGTTGAAAATTTCAACTTGAAAATTTGACCTTTTTGACCTGAAAATGACCTGACCTCAGCTTTTTCAGCTGAAAATGGCCTGATATGACACAGACGACACTGATTTCGCAATCTGGCCTAAGTGGACCATAAAACATGCGTCACGTGACCAATTAAATATAATATTTCCGTGACCTAGGATGACCTTGCCGTGACCTGAAAAATTCAACAAGTTTGGTACCCTCAGGGTATCTTAGGCATGTATTCATGAGTGTGTAAACCAAAAATGAGCCAGATCCGACTTTTGAGACGGCGGCCAGAGCCCAAATAGTTAACAAGCCAAAACGTCGATAAATTTTACTTTGACCTGACCTGTGACGTCATCGGTGACCTCGAGGTCAATAAGAGTAGGTTCCGCTCGACAGTTGTTCCTGGGCTATCAGACGCCGTTTGAATTTTGACAATCGGCTTAGTAGTTTCGGAGTTAGGAGGGGGGGGGGGGTCGGCGTTATTAAAAGACCCCAGTGGGGCGCAGGTTAGTATCATTCAATTTGGCTACCTATGATGGAAGTTATTCAAGTTTCACATTGGGGGTTTTACGTGCGCCACCCTTGTACATAGACCAAGGTGATTGTGTGGTTTGTTACTGTATGTGACTAATGTGTCTGTGATTTAACGTAGTCAACCTCATCGAGATCGATGCGAGTGATTGAACTGTGAGTGATTGAACTATGATCAATACATAATATGTGATAAACATGATTTTTCTTAATTACTATTACATTGGTAGCAATCACGTTTTATCGCACCGACTGGAAGACATCACTGTTTTATGGTTTCATAATTTCGGATCCCTCGTACAACGCGTTCACAATGCGTATCCTGACCATAGCGTATCTGACATCCCATGGTTACACGATATGTACTATCTGAAATGGTCATTGCATGCCATCTGTTTGACTTCACCATTAACTTTGGTGCAAAGTATATATAAGCAGACGATATACCATTACATTGCAGCGTAGGCATAAAAATACACCAGAGGGTAAACTGAAATAGTGGTGTATATTTAACTCGGGGTAATTTTACTCTAAAACTTTTCAGTCATAGAATTATCTTTTTGAGTTTTTGTTTCAACGTGAATTAGAATGTGAATTATTTTTACTCTCTCAACTTTTTTCTACTCTGGTGTATAAATGCTGTTTTCTGTTTTTACACCCTGAAGCAGGGGGTGAAATCTGATTTGATATTATTACACTGGGAGTGCAGTATTACTCCCGTAAATCGCATGCTTTATTCGGTTTTACTCCCCTACACCGGGGTGTAAAATTATTCCTCTAGGGTTGGAGTTTTAGGCACCGTACTTTTACTCCAGAGAAAGTGTATTTTTAAGCTCATGGGAGTTATTTGATAACACCCGGTGGTAAAAATAGTCGCTAATCGCCCATGTTAAAGCAGTTTACACTGGGGAGTAGAATGATCACTTAGGGTTGGAGATTTAGGCACCGTAAAATTATTCCAATTTTGGGTGTACTTTTCTTTCAGTGTATTTACTCAAGTATTTTTGCAAGCTCGCCCCATTTCCGTTTAAAAGCATCAATTTTCCTATGTGACTTCGCAATATTGTATTCTTTTATCGCTTCAAATTTAAGTGTTTGCAGCATTACCTCCACCGAGGGCTTAGCTAATTTAAGACGTGCTTTGTGTATACAAGATTTACTGAGCGTTACTATGACCACTTCTATGTTAGTGAGATCTGATAGCATGAACCAATTTATACAGTTGATATTTATACTGGTGTGATATTGTGTTCTTATATGTGACAATATTTCCTTAATGAATATTTGTGTTGTAGGACACTGCCAGAACAGATGGAAGATCGTTTCTGTTGCACTTTCACAGAAGGTACAGGTACTGCTTTGACGTACATGAATATTCGCCAAGTATTTATTTGTAGCATAAATTCTATTGATAACCCGAAAATGGAGATAAAGAAGAAACGTGGACATTGTTGCTTCTTTAACTCTCTGAACGGTTCCCTTCGTATATTCGCCAATATCGATTATCCATTTCGTCTGAAGACGTGCATTTGAGCTACTATTTGTGTCTGCTTTATTTTCAACGAATGTGTTGTACGCGATTTTTGAAAACTT